CATTTAAAAATCTAGTTATGAAGACCAAAAAAACCCCCAAAAGTACCAAAAACTATAACCATAATAATTTGTTAATGGATGCACAGATAAAATGATACAAACTGTGACATCAAAAACATAAGATGTTTAGGGGGAGAGTGAAAATGTAGTTTTAGAATGCTTTTGAATTTACATTGTTAGCAACTTCAAAGAGTTTATTACATATATAAGGTGTTTTATGTAAGCCTCATGTTAACCATAAAACAAAAACCTATAGTAGATACACAAAAGATAAAGGAATCTAAGCAAGCATACCACTACATAAAATCATCGAATCACAAAAAAAGAGATCAAAAGAATAAGAAAGGAACAAAGAAATTACAAAACAGTTAACAATGAACAAAATGTCAAAAAGTACATACCTATCAATAATCACTTTAAATGCAAATGAACTATATTTTCCAACGAAAAGATACAGAATGGGTGAATAGATAATAATACAAGACTCATTGATATGTTGCCTACAAGAGACTCATGTCAGATGTAAGAACACATACAGACTGAAAATGAAGGGGTAAAAAAAGATATTCAATGTAAATGGAAACCAAAAGAAAGCTGGGGTAGCTTTATTCATATCAGACAAAATAGACTTTAAGACAAAACTATAATAAGAGACAACGAAGTTCATTGTGTAATAATAAAGGAGTCAATCCAACAGGAGAATATAACATTTGTAAATATTTATGCACCCAACATAGGAGCATCTAAATATATAAAGCAAATATTAACTGACAAAAAGGGGAACAGACAGTAATACACTAATAGTAGGGGAATTTAATACCCCCACTTTCATCAAAGGATAGACAATCCAGTTAGAAAGTCAATAAAGAAACATTGGACTTCAACAACAAATTGAGCCAAATGACCTAATTCATCCCAAAGCAGCAGAATATATATTCTCTCAAGCACACATGGAATATCTTACATTGGGCCATAAAATGAGTCTTAGTACATTTAAGATCAAAATCATAGAAAGCACTTTCTTGGACCACAATGATATGAAACTAAAAATCAATTACAGCCTGGCCAGCGTGGATCAGTGATTGAGCGTCAACTTATGAACCAGGAGGTCACAGTTCAATTCCTGGTTGGGGCATATGCCCGGGGTTTCGGGCTTGATCCCCAGCATGGGGCATGCAGGAAGCAGCCAATTAATGATTCCCTCTCATTATTGATGTTTCTATTTCTCTCTCCCTTTCCATTCCTCTCTGAAATCAATAAAAAATATATTTTTCAATAAATCAATTACAAAAAGAAAACTAAAAATTTACAAATATATGGAGATTAAATAACATGCTACTGAACAGCCAATAGTCAACAAAGAAATCAAAAGAGAAATAAAAAATACCCTAAGACAAATGAAAAGAAAGTATACCAAAACTTATGGAATGTAGCAAAAGCAGTTCTAAGAGAGAAGTCCATAGTGATTAATGCCAACATAAGAAAGATCTCAAGTAAACAACACACGGAATTAAAAACCCAAAGTTAGTAGAAGGAAGAAAACAACAAAGATCAAAATGTAAATTAAAAAAAATATAGACTAAAAAGACAATAGAAAATAAGAGGTGTTTTTTTTGAAAAGATAAACAAAATTGACAAACTTTTAGCTAAGACTTACCAAGAAAAGAGAGGACTTAAAATCAGACATGAAAGAGGAGACATGGTTAACATGAGGCTTACATAAAACATCTTGATACTAGATAAATACAAAGAACCATAAGTGACTACTAAGAACCTTACACACCAACAAAGTGGACAACCTAGAAGAAATTGGTAAATTCCTAGAAACATACAACCTACTAAGACTAAATCATGAAAAAACAGAAAATCTGATCAGACTGATTGAACCATTAATTTAAAAAACTCTAAAATATATAAAGAACTCATACAACTCAATAGCAAAAAATAAAAATAAAAAAAAAATCTGATTTTAAAATGGGCAGAGAACCTGAATAAACAAACATTTTTATAAAGAAGACATACAGATGACTAACAGATACATGAAAAAGTGCTAAACATCATTACTTCTCAGGGAAATGCAAATCGAAACCACAATAAGATATCACCTCACACCTGTTAGAATGGCTATTATCAAAACGACAAAAAAAAAAACACAAAAAACGAAATAAAAAAAAAAAACACCAACAAATGCTGGCAAGGCTGTGGAGAAAAGGGAAACCCTTGTGCACTGTTGGTGGGAATGTAAACTGGTGCAGCCACTATGAAAAACAGTATGGAGGTTCCTCAAAAAATAAAAAATAGAACTACCATATCGTTGGGAGCACAGCTCCTCAGCCAGGGACTTGACCCTTCTGGGTGCAGGGAATTGGAAAGACACTCGGGTAACAGGTAAGTGGGACATGCTTTATTACAAACAAAGCAGCCGTGCACTGACTGGTCAGTGGCGACTTACATACACGCTCAAACAAAAGAGGCCTCATACCAATTAGCGATACACGCTCCTGCTACATTAACACAAACAGGTTACGTAAGGGTGCGCTTGCGCGGTGCGTGTATTTCTACTACTGAGTCATGGCCCTCGCACCTGCATAGGGCAAAGGGGCCTTTCACCTGATAACACGGCTGCGTCCTCACCTGCACGGGAAAGGCAAATTGCCCTTGATCATCTGGCGTGCTCTGATTAGGGTTCCCACACATGATCTAGCAATCCCACTTCTGGGTATTTATCTCAAGGAAACAAAATCACTATCCAGAAAAGATATCTGTATCCCCATGTTCTTTGCAGCATTATATATAATAGGGAATATATGGAAACAACCTAAATGCCAATCAACAGATGAATGGATAAAGAAGATGTGATATATATTCATAATGGAACATTCTTCAGTCATAAAAGGGAAGTGATTTCCAAAAAGGATGAAGCTTAAGGGCATTACTCTAGATCAGTGGTTCTCAACCTTCCTAATGCCGCAACCCTTTAATACAGTTCCTCATGTTGTGGTGACCCCCAATTTTATTGTTACAAATTGAACATAATTAAAGCATAGTGATTAATCACAAAAACAATATGTAATTATATGTGTTTTCCGATGGTCTTAGGGGACCCTGTGAAAGGGTCGTTCGACCCCCAAAGGGGTCACGACCCACAGGTTAAGAACCGCTGCTCTAGGTGCAATAAGTCAGACAGAGAAAGACAATATTGTATGATCTCATATCTGTCAATTCTTTAAAAATACACACACACCTCACAGATACAGATAACAGATTGGAGGTTGCCAGAGGTTCGGGTGGTTGGTAAATGAAATGGATGAAGGTGGACAAAAGGTACAAATTTCCAGTTAATAAGGTAAGTCAGTCCTGGGGATCGTGACTATAGCTAATACTACTGTATTGTACACTTGCAAGTTGCTGAGAGTAGCTCTTAAAAACTATCTTCACAGAAGAACAACAAATTTGTAACTCCCTGTGGTGATGGATAGTAACTATGAGGTAATCAGTTTGCAATAAATACATATATTGAATCATTATGTTTTACACCTAAAACTAATACATGTTATATGTCAATTATATCTCAATTTAGAAATCCATAAAATAAATAAAAATCATTAGAGGACACACCAATGATTCCATTAAAATAGAAGCTGTGATTGTCACCAATCTATGTTGCGCTCCTATTGCAAGTAAACCAACAGGCAAGGGAGGAGGCCACTTTACAGGCTGGAGTGACTGAATTTGACTATTAAGGAGAAATTTGGTTCCCATGGCACAAAGAGGGTACGGAGGAGAATGTCTGGAATGCAGATGGTTTTGGGTGCTTCTTAGAACTCCTGTGTTCTGTGGTACATTTTATAATTGTTTCACTCTTTGCTCCATTGGAAAATTTACAGGATTCTTTTGCTCAGGAGAAACTCATTGAAAACACAGGCCAGAGTCTGATAAGAAAAGAAGGCTATATATTTCTTAAGCTAGTGGTGTTTATTTTTGCCTCATATATTCTTTTGTGTGTATGGGTAAAAACAAGATGTGAATGCCATCAGCCACACTGGTGTTTTAAGTTGTGAAAATGCATGAATCAGTAAAAGAGTTAACTGAAATGTAAATCTCACAAGCAAAATATACAATTTCTGGCAGACTATACATAGTGCTAATTCTTTGAACAATATTGTTTTAGACCAAAATACTTTGCAAATGTATGCTACAAGGCAAGAAAGGGGGGTTACTAACTATGGAACTTTGGTAAATTACCGAACCTGTTTGGTAATCAGTAAAATGGGTACACGTGCTAGTTAGGTAAAAACGCTTTGGAAATGGGAATTCACAGAAAGGCCTTCTCTTCTCCTAAGCCAGGGTTTCTCGATCTCAGCAGTACTGACCTTTCAGGCCAGGCAATCACTCGTCGTGGGGCGCTGTCCTGTACATCCTAGAAAGCTCAGCAGCATGCCTGGCCTCTACCGCTATACCCTCCGTCATCTGGAGAGATGCCAGCACCAGCTCTCCCCCAGACATGAGGTTGACATTACCTCCCCAAATTGCCAACTGTCTTCTGGGCGGCAAGATCGCTGCAGTTGGGAACTAGTGTCCTAACCCCATGTTCATACAAAAAGAATTTGAGGGAGAAATAAAACAACAGCCTCCAAGGAGGAGTAACATGCAGCCTCGTGGAGGCTGGATTTGTGACTCAGAAAATGGGGTGAGGCGCTCCGGGGGCCAGTGTGCCGCCAAGTCCCGGTTAGTGAACTGACTATCAAGGGAAGGGGCAGCAGGGCGGAGGGAGCGGACGGAACCCGAGGCCCACACCGCCTGAACCCACGTACCGACGCGGTGGGAAAGGCCTCGGGGAGCGGGGTCAGAACCGGCCTCCAGGCGCTGCGGGGCGGAGTCCCGGGATGTGCCCGCCCCCGCCGCGCGCGCGGACTTATAGCCGCAGGCCCCGCCCCGCCCCCGGGTGCGCCCCGCCCCCAGGTGCCCGCGCCTCCGGCCCCTGCGCCAGGCCCTGCGTCAGCGGCGGGGCGGGGGAGGAGGCGTTGGCGCTGCCACGTCTTGGTGGGGGCGGCGGCGGCGACGGGCCACTGTGGCGCGGGAGGTGCCGGAGGTGGGGTTGGCGCCGAAGCAGGATCCGGATGGGTAAGAGCCCGTCGGTACCGGAGGGGAGCGCGGAGTACGGGGCCTCCAGGGGTGAGGAGGGTTGGGGGCCCGGGAGCGAGAGCGGGGCGCGCCGGGGGTCCCGGGGCCCGTGGTGGACCGGGCTGTGGCTTCATCAGACAGGTGCGCCTGCCGCCGGGGGAGGCGAGGTAGGCCCCGGGGGTGGGGGACGGAGCGGGCGGTTCCGTGCGGGGAGCCGGGCGTTTACCCTGGCAGCTGGGTGCGTGCACACGAGGTTGTGGAGCGCGGTTCGGGGCAAGCTGAGCAGACGCGCCTGGAGCAGAGGTGAGGGGTGATGGCCAGTGGTCCTGCCTTGCAAGGGTGTCGCCGGCAGGGCCCAAGCTGGGGCCGGGGTCGAAACTAACTCTGCGCTCACCAGGCGTCGGCATGGGAATTGAGGCAGCTGCCCAGTCTGTCGCCATCGGCTTTGAATGGGCACGAAACCTGCAGCCCCTTCCTCACCACCCCGCCCCGTTCCTTTCCGGGGTGCACCCCGCGGCGGTTGTGAGCCCTTGAGGAGGTGCTCCTGCTTCTAAGATCACCTGCTGCGCTGACTAATCGGGCTTTCACCCGGGAACGAGGGACATCCTTTGTCTTTTTTTCACGGGGCCTTCTACCCCTAGAAACACGGAGTATTGTGATTTTTCTTGTGGGAGCCTATGTTTATATATGTAAACCGAACTCCTTTTCACACTAAATTAAACAGGCGATTATGGGGGTAGTGTTGTGGAGCTATCCACTTACGGACGAATCAAGGAATGGAGCTGAAGAATCCTTTAGCTCTTTTTAGGCAGGGTTCGCAGACATGTTTTAGCACAGAGGAGACAGAGCTACCTGTCAGCTGCGATGATATTAAAGACGGGTGTTAATTTAATGTGGTAATTAGAGCTCCGATGGGAAAACAAGATAGGATTCTAGTCCAGTTCACCCATTTGTGTGCTATGGTGGGGTCCGTTCCTTGAAGCTCCACGTGGTTCCGTTTCCTGGTCCATAGACTGGGAATGATGCCTAGATTACAAGGATATAATAAGCTACCAAGAAATACTTTTAAAAATGCCCAGGTGAAGTGTAATTGCACAGTTTAGTAATGTGGCCAGGCTTATTGAAGTCATCAGCAAATGGAATGTTCTTTAGATTAAAAATTCAAATTGTTATTGAAATTGTTATAAAGTGTATGTAGGTTAACCCTACTCCCAAATGGCACATGTTCCCCTTCTCCCCATTAACAATGTAATGAAGTAGTATAGTGGTGCCCCAGGAGCTCTTGAAATGCGTAAGAGTTTTAAAATCAACTTTAAAATCTTCCCTCCCAGTGCCTGTTACTTGTTCCTTTCAATTGCTTGCTTCTAGCAGCAGCTCCTCCCTACCCCCCATTTGTATCCCAGTCTGCTGTAGAGGCTGGTGAACCCAACTGTTGGAATTGTGTCCAAAGAATAGTCAACAGAATGAAAACCTGAAGTGATCCTAGTAAAATTGAATTTGGTGTATGGTTTTTGTTATATCACTGTGGCAATCTGCAAAACTTTTTCCTTCTGGATTTTCTGAAATGTAACCTCCAGGTAAGTCTTAACACCATCTGTTACTCATTCTCTAGGCATTTACTGGGCTGTTAGGCATATGTGGGCCTTGTAAAGGCAAGAAAGTGGCAGCAGACAATCCAAGTGTGGGACCCTGTGCAACCATGATGCCGGCCCTGTTGCCTGTTTTTGAATCCTAAGTCTCTTCCTTATTGATTCTGTTATCTGGAGCAAGTTGCTATGCCTGCTTCCTGGTCTGCAAAACAAGAATAATGATACATATGCATTGTATTTTTGAGTTAACAAATAGAAAGCACTCAATAAATGTTAGCCAGTATCATTGATTTTTATTTTATTTATTTTTAGTTTTATTTTTTTAAAATATATTTTATTGATTTTTCACAGAGAGGAAGTGAAGGGGATAGAGAGTTAGAAACATCGATGAGAGAGAAACATCGATCAGCTGCCTCTTGCATACCCTCCATTGGGGATGTGCCCGCAACCAAGGTGCCCTTGGCCGGAATCGAATCCGGGACCGTTCAGCCTGCAGGGCGATGCTCTATCCACTGAGCCAAACCGGTCAGGGCTTCATTGATTTTTAAATATTGATTTTGGAGAGGAAGGGAGAGAGAAAAAAACATCTATGATGAGAGAGAATCCTTGATAGGCTGCCTCCTGCATGGCCCACACTGCGGAGGGAGCCTGCAACCCAGGCATGTGCCCTCCCTGGGAATGGAACAGTGGCCTCCTGGTTCATAGGTTGAAGTTCAACCACTGAGCCATGCTGGCCAGGCTGAAATTGTCTTTATGTTCATCTGAATTCCCCTCTGAACTTTCTTTAAACTTCATGGTTACAACTTTGTTAAATAACATGAACATCAAAATGTTTAATGTGTTGCCTTGAGGAAGTTAAATTCTTAATACTTTCTGGCATCTGAATTTAATGTACTCATTTTACTTAATTGATATTTAGCCTGTTAATCTGCATACTTAAAATACAATATTGTTACCCATCATTCAGATAAAAATAGACATGTAAGCCTCAGGGGCCCATTTATCAGGGACAAACACTAACATGCCTGCACTAAAATTAACCTATAAAAAAGTTCCATAGGTTTGCCAGATTAAATATGTCCCCAGCCCCACCTGAGATGTATATATACTAAAAAAAATTACTGTTGTTTATCTGAAAAAAAAAAAGTTTTAAACGGACTGTAGGCTTAAATTGATAGGAATGATTGTTTTAATCATCAAAAGTTATTTCCTTCCCTTACTATTCTTAGAGCCAGGTATAGTGTTGTTTAGAATATAATATGATCTGAGTTTGTTTATTTTCTGGGTCCACTTACCTTTATATATATTTTTAATTTTTTATGTATTTATTTCTTAATCTTATTGTTGAAAGTATTACATATGTCTCCCTTCTCCCCACCATTAACTCCCTCAAGCCCTCCCCTGCCACCCACCTCCCCCAGGCTTTCACCTTCTAATTGTCCGTTAGAAGGTGAAAGCCTGGGTTATGCATGTATATATATATATATGGTCTTTGGTTGATTATTTCCTACCCACCCACCCTCCCCTGCCTTCCCTCTGAGATTCCAGTCTGTTCCATGCTTCCAGGTCTCTGGATCCTCTCTGTTCATCAGTTTATTTTGTTAATTAGCTTCCACAAATGAGTGAGATCATGTAATATTTGTCTTTCTCTGAGTTATTCCACTTAGCATGATACTCTCCAGGTTGCTTCATGCTGTCTCAAAGGGTAAGAGAGTCTTCTTTTTTCAATGCTGCATAGTATTTCATGGTATAAATGTACCACAGCTTTTTTACCCACTCATCTACTGCTGGGCACTTGGGCTGTTTCCAGATCTTAGCTAGTGTAAATTGTGCTGCTACAAACATAAGGGTGCATACATACTTGTTGGTCGGTGTTTCGGGTTTCTTAGGCTCTATCCCTAGAAGTGGGATCACTGGGTCAGCTGGTAGTTCCATCTTTAATTTTTTGAGGGAACTCCATACTGTTTTCTATAATGGCTGTCCCAATCTGCATTCCCACAGCAATGTGCTAGGGTTTCCTTTTCTCCACATCCTTGCCAGTACTTGTCATTGTTAATTTGTTGATGGTAGCCATTCTGACAGGTATGAGGTGATAACCTCATTATTGTTTTAATTTGCATCTCTCTGGTTATCAGTGACTTTGAGCATTTTTTCATATGCCTGTTGGCCGTAATCTGCATCATTTTTGAGGGGGGAAATGAAAGAAAAAACTGATTTAAAAAAAAGTTGTTCTTTCCTATCCAAGAATGCTAATTATTAGTTTAACATAAATATAATAGACGATCTGTCATTCTTTTTGTAGCACCTGTACCCAGCACACTGCTCACCTCATTCATTTAAATGTGAAAAAAAATTAAGAATTTATAAACATGAATTTCAAATTATTTGCTAACTAAAGGATATTTTATTGAACACTTGAAGTGTGGCAGGCACTGTTGGGTGCTTATATACAGTAATTCATTTCATCCTGCCAGTAATTTCTTCCCATTTTGTAAGTGAGAAAACAGATTCTCAGAGTTTACCTACCGTAGCCATGGTCAGTGACATTAGAACCCCAGGTCTGATTCCAGAGCTCACGCTCTTTCCATACCTAGGTTTCCTGGCGCCACTAATGTTGTGACCTTGGGTAAATTAGTGCACATGTATGCCTGCATTTCCTCCTCTGTTAAAGTGGTGATAATAATTGTCCCTTCCCTGTAGGACTATCAAAATAATTGAATTAGTAGTGTATCAAGTGCTTTGAACAATGCCTGGCACATTAAGTGCTGAACAATGTTAGTTTCTATTATTACAGTATCCCACCTTCCCAAAGCCTCTATTACTCTACAGCATTACCTTTATAGTCACATCAGGTTATACAGGCAGAAATTTAATCAACCTTTAAGGAAAAGTTAAGAGTTGCCCTTAAGCATATTGTGATTTATGAAATAGGGAACAGCTGGGAGCTGGGTTGTTGGGAAAATTGTTCTGTCATTAAATGGACTTTAATTTTACCTGCATTGTTTTTTTTATGGCATTATCTATCATCTATCTATCTACGTATCTATCTATCTATCTATCTATCTATCTATCTATCTATCTATCTATCTATCTATGTATCTATCTATCTATCTAAAAAGCCCAGCGACCGAATGGCAGAACGATCAGAACAACTGGTCAACCACTCAGTAGGACATGCACTGACCACCAGGGGACAGACAATCAGTGCAGGAGCTGCCCACTGGTGGTCAGTGCGCTCCTACAGTGGGGTTACCGCTTGGCTGACCTGGATGAGCGGCGCTCCCACAGCGGGCCGATTCCCACAGGCCATGCCCCCACCAGTGCACGAATCCGTGCACCGGTTCTCTAGTATTATTGATATACACCTTTAAAATCTATGTTTCAAAGAGCTAGAGGCAGGTGTCAAATAGAATATTTTCTCTAACTGGGTATAGCAATCATAGTAACTTTTCTTCTATTAAATAAAATGCTTTGCCCTAGTGGTTTTGCTCAATGGATAGAGCATTGGCCTACAGAATGAAGGATCCTGGGTCGATTCCAGTCAAGGGCATATGCCACAGTTGCAGGCTCAATCTCCAGTGGGGGGCATGCAGGAGGCAGCCGATCCATGATTCTTTGTCATCATCGATGTTTCCATCTCTCTCCCCCTCTTTCTTCTCTGAAATCAACAAAAGTGTATTTTTTAAAATTGCCTTAAAATTTAAAATTTTATTTTAGATCTTACTGCAAAGATGATACCTGATGAAACACCTATGTTTGACCCAAGTCTACTCCAAGAAGTGGACTGGAGCCTGAATACAGCTACATTTTCTCCAGCCATTTCCCCAACAAATCCTGGAGAAGGTTTGGTTTTGAGGCCTCTTTGTACTGCTGATTTAAATAGAGGTATGGACTCAGTTAACAAACCCTGGTTAGAATTGTAGTTAGCATTCTGTTTTCTCCACAAACATTCTGATGATGGTGATAATTTTTTAAAATGATACTTGACTTTAGATTATGTTTTGTATTTCATTTTTAAAGTGACTGAGAACCACAATTCTAATGTGTATGTGTCATGGCTAAGACCATGTATTACTATGAAATACTTCAAATGATTTAAGTACAACACGGCTCCTTCCTATAAGAGGCCAAAAGACTGCTTATAAAGGAAGAAGTTATCATGTGTAATGGCACATAAGGAAGAATCTTTAAGAAGCTAGATGGGGAATAAGGATAGAGATAATTTGCCTTGGATAAAATGCAAAAGATTTTGTCTACATGTTATTTCATTTTTTAGCATCTGAATTTTCCAAAATCCTTAAATTTTCATAATCAAAAGTCAATTTAGTCCATTTTCCCTGTGGTAGGAAATATGAAGAAACTAATTTTGGTCAAATTGTCATTGACTGTATAGACATTAAAATTCTCAAAGTTTGCCCTAGCCAGTTTGGTTCAGTGGATAGAGCATAGGCCTGAGGACTGAAGGGTCCTGGGTTTGATTTTGGTCAAGGGCACATGTCCGGGTTGTAGACTCAATCCCCAGTTGGGGGTGTGCAAGAGGTAGCCAATCAATGATTCTCTCTCATCATTGATATTTCTACCGCTTTCTCCCTCTTCCTTCCTCTCTGAAATCAATAAAAAATATCTTACAAAAAAAAAAAAAAAGATTCTCAAAGTTCTAAAATGTGCTGTGCCACATTAACATGAATGAAATTAATCAGGAATATTTAAAAATTGTAGTCTCAACAATTATTTACATCTCATATAGTATCATATTTGGTCATTGAGAATCTTGCACTTTTAAGTAAAACCAAAGCACATATTTGGAATATGAAGCATCCTTTGCATTATATTTAATGCAAATTACATTGAGAAATGTACACGCTGGTTCTATAAATATTGAACATATTGAAATTAAGGTTAATACTCCAAAAAAATCTTAGGCAGGGAAAAACTTTGGTTAAACCTATTTTTCTTTGTTTTATGTAGTGATTGCAGAAAGAATAAAGGGTTTTAATTTAATCTTTTGAAATAATTTTAAAAGGATTCATTAAACTTAAAAAAATAATTGCTCATGATCTCACCTGCTTATTTAATACATTGCCTCAGTTGATATCTCTTTCATTTGCTCTTCTCATGACTGGAAATCTCTTTTTGCAAAACTAGGTTTTATTAAGGTACTAGGTCAGCTGACAGAGACTGGAGTTGTCAATCCTGAACAATTTATGAGTAAGTACTACCACCTTTTTTTTTTCTGAATGAAAAAAAAAATAAAAAAAAAGATTTTATTTTATTTTTTAGAGATCTCTTCTGTCTATACTATATGTATTTTTGTTCAAATAGAAATTATTCAGATAGCTAATTAGCTATTTTTGGTCTCTTTAAAAAGAATTTTTTTCCAATTACAGTTGACATTCAGTACTATTTTGTATTAGTTTTAAGTGCATAGTGGTTAGATAGTCTTATGCTTTAGAAAGTGTTCCCCCAATATTTCAAGTACCCACCTGGCACCATACAGTTATCACAGTATTATTGACTATATTCCCTATGCTGTTCTTTACATCTCTGTGACCATTTTGTAACTGCATTTGTACTTCTCAATCCCTTCACTGTTTTTACCCAGCCCCCACCCCCCTCCCATCTGGCAACCATCAATTTGTTCTCTGTATGTATGAGTTTGTCTCTGTTTTATAGATTCCACATACTTTGGGGCAAAAGTAAGTTTACAGTTTTGAGTACACAAAAGTTTATTCTTGTATTATTATTTGTGTATTTTTCCATACGAACAACTACAAAAGTACTTTTGCTTCACCCTGTATATGTGAAATCATATAGTATTTGTCTTTCTCTGTCTAACCTATTTCACTTAGCACAGTAATGTCTAGGTCCATCCATGTTGTCACACATGATAAGATTGCATTCTTTTTTATGGCTGAGTAATATTCCATTGTATACATGTACCACTTCTTCCTTATCCATTCAACTTTAAATTTTTTAAAAAAATGTTTTTATTGAATTTAGAAAGAGAGGAAGGGAGAGGGAGAGAAAAAGAGAAGTCAATATAAGAGAGAAATGATCAGTTGCCTCCTGCACACATCCTGACCAGGGATTGATTCTGAAACCTGGGTATGTGCCCTGACCAGGAATTGAACTGGGCGACCTTTATGTGCACAGGACAGTGTTAAACTGAGCCATACCAGCCAGGGCCAATCAACTTTTGATGGAGCATTTAATTCATTTACATTTATTAAAGTTTTGGTTTTTTATCTTTATTGTTGAGAGTATTACAGATGTCTCTCCCTTTTCCCATTAACCACCTCCACCCACTTTCCACCCTGCCCCAGCCTTCACCACCCTATTGTCTGTCCATTGGTAATGCATATATATATATAATATTTGGTTAATCTCTCCCCACCCCCAACCACCTTCCCTCTTAAATTTGTCAGTTTGTCCCATGTTTCTAAGCTTTCTGGTTCTATTTTATTCATCAGTTTATTTTGTTCATTGGATTCCTTGTTCATTTTCATTTTTATATTCAATTGTTGATATGCGTTTACCACCATGTTATTGTTCATATTTTTGACCTTTTATTTCTTTTTCTTAAAGAAGATGCTTTAACATTTCATGTAATACTGGTTTGGTGGTGATGAACTCCTTTAGTTTTTTCTTGTCTGGGAAGCTCTTTATCTGACCTTCAATTCTAAATGATAGCTTTGCTGGGTAGGGTAATCTTGGTTGTAGGTCCTTGCTTTTCATCACTTTGAATATTTCTTGCCACTTCCTTCTGACCTTCAAGTTTCCTGTTGGAAAAACAGCTGACAGTTGTCTGGATGCTCCCTTGAGGTAACTAACTGCTTTTCTCTTGCTGCTTTTAAGATTCTCTCTTTGTCTTTAACCTTTGTCACTTTAATTATGGTGTCTTTGAGTTCATCTTGTTTGGGACTCTCTGCTTTCTGGACTTGTATGTCTATTTCTTTCACCAGGTTAGGGAAGTTTCCTGTCATTATTTTTTCAAATAGGTTTTTGATTTCTTGTTCCTTCTCTTTCTTTCCAGCATCCCCATGATGTGAATGTATGTGTGCTTGAAATTGTCCCAGAGGTTCCTTACACTATCTTCATATTTTTTATTCTTTTTGCTGTTCTTGTGGGTGGTTTTTGCTTCCGTATATTCTGAATTCTTGATTTGATTCTCGGCATCTCTACTCTGCTGTTGATCTCCTGTAAATTATTCATTTCAGTTAGTGTATGCTTCACTTATGTCCTCTTTTTATGTTGCTGATGTTCACACTAATTTCCTTGAAATTCCAAGTTCCTGGAGGCTCTCATTAAGTTCCTTGAGCATCCTTATAACCATTACTTGTTGAGAGTATTACAGATGTCTCTACCTTTTTCCCCCATTAACTCTCTCCACCCACTTCCCACCCTGCCCAGCCTTCACCACACTATTGTCTGTCCATTGGTAATGAATATATACATATAAGATCTTTGATTAATCTCTCCCAGATCAGAACTCTATATCTGATAGTTTTCTTGCTTACATTCATTGAGGTTTTCTTCTGGAGATTTCTCCTGTTCTTTCATTCGTAACATATTTGTCTCGGCATTTTGGCTACTTCCCTATGTTTGTTTCTATGTATTAGGTAGAGCTGCTATGTCTCCTGGACTTCAGAGAGTGGCCTTGTATAGTAGGTGTTCTGTAGGGCCCAGTAGGTCAGCTTCCCCAGTCACCAGAGCTGGGCATTCCAGGTGTGCCCTGTGTGAGCTGTGTACACTGTCCCATTCTAGTTGAGCCTTAATTACTGTTGGCATCACTGGGAAGGATTGACCCCCTGGCTGACTGGCTGTGAGAACCAGTTTCAACTACAGCAGAGGAGCTGCTATGTAGGAGCCAATCCTATGGAGTAGGACTTGCTTCAGTGGGGCTTTGGTGTTCACTGAGTCCACCCTTGAGTCATTTGTGGAGGTGGAAGTGTTGTAGTCTGGTGTGGTCGAAGTTGAACACCAGGTGCACTGGCTCTGGGGCCCCCTGGGAGGTGCAGTCAGCCTCTGCCTGTGTCCTGGCCGGAGCCACCCAGCATGAGCTACAAGCAATCTGCATATGGCTGCTACTTGTGTTCAGTCTGGAGGTGCCCAGAAGAGGCCAACCTGTGGACCAGGGTAGGCTGTCACTAGTGCTGGGCCTGGGGCCACTGATGAGAGGTTTGGGGTATGCTGATGCCAGCTGCTGCATATTTGGAAGATTTCAGGAAAGTCCAAAGCATGGGGTGAGAGGGGCCAGTTGTATGGAAAAGCCACTGGAAATGACTTGGATGAGCCTGCAAGTAGGAAGAGGTAGGGTCTCAGAATCACCAGGCAGAGTGAAAAGTGAGCCAGGATGATGGAGATTCAGATATGGTGCAGCCTGTCCATTCTGTGGCAGGTAGTGCTCAGTAAAGAAACACTGGACTCTAAAGCTGCCCCTCCAGCTCTTGCCCTGATTCCAGACAAGTTAATTCCTCCCTGAATGTCCCAATTTCCTTTCAAGCTGCTTCCCGGTGCTGGAGCTCAGGGGGAGTCCAAGTCCGCAAGGACCCTTTAAGAGGAACTGTCTGGGGCTCCTACAGCCTCCATGTCACTCAGCCACAATCCCCGCTGGTTTTTACAGTCAGAAGTTGTGGGGACTTCTCTTCCCAGCACTGGAACCCTGGGCTAGGGGCCTAGTGTGGGGCAGGGACCTTTCGCTCTTCAGGGAAACTGCCATACGTGGGTTCCACTATTCTACCCCTCATCTCCACCTCTCCTATCAGTCTGGATGTGCTGCTGCTTTAATTCCCTAATTGTAGAACTACAGTTCAGCCAGATTTCAGGTGGTTCTGAATAATGGTTCCGTATTTTAGTCAAAAATTTTGATGTGATTGTGGGAGGATGTGAGTACCATGTTTACCTATGCCACCATCTTGACCAGACCTTCTAAAGTATTTATTGATGGGTATGTTATTGCCTTTTTTTCCCTGATTGTTTTTATAGGTCTTTTCCTTTCTTATTCTATCTTATTCAATTACTTAGAAATGGAGACATATTTTTCACCTACTTTATGAGGTGCCTTCAAAGGGAACAAAGCAAAATGATTACTGTAATTTCTAAAAAGTCATGTAATCATGAAACACTTGAGATCACAAGGAGAAAACAGAACTACTTTCACCAAAATATTTGGAAACCAGACTAAAAATTACAGAATGGAGCCATGTAAAAACATTCTTTTGTTAAAAATTTGCAGTTTTGTTCTATTCAAATATCTGCCAAATGTAAAAGTTCAAGAAAGCGATTTAAAGTGAGTAATGATTTATTAGTCACAGAAGTGGCACATATACAATTTATTTGTATAAGTGCTATTCACCTAAAAAGGCTGGATTAGTCTTTTACCTTGCTAGCATATTCTTTAAATGTATGGACTATATTCCAACTTACTAATCACTGATATTTCAACTACCTGGTCATTTAAAATATTTTCTTAAAAACAAAATACAAATTATTATGGTAAAATAGCTTTAAATGTTCAGTAATGAAGTCAGCTAGTCCTCATTTTTTGCCACCTAATACAGTGTAATGTCTGCTACATAACACTGTCTTCTAATTTCCACAGAATCTTTTGAGCACATGAAGAAATCTGGGGATTATTATGTTACAGTGGTGGAAGATGTGACTTTAGGACAGATTGTTGCTACAGCAACTCTGATAATAGAACATAAATTCACCCATTCCTGTGCTAAGGTATGTGTTCACATTAATGCTAATGAGCTAAAATGGGCAGGTGTGGGTTTGTTTTTTTTTTAGCAAAACCTATGTTGAGTTTCCATTAGACAAATCTGTTTTCTCACTACTTTTCCTTGTAAAATGAGAGGCATATTGCCTTGAAAAAGTTCTGCTTCCTAGAAATCTCTTATTAAGAGGCAATTTCCCACTTTGTTTTGAGGAAGAAAATGTATTAACAATATGAATTGGGCCTGGCCGTGGTGGCTCAGTGGTTGAGCATTGACCTTTGAACCAGGATGTCATGGTTCGATTCCCCGTCAGGGCACATGCCCAGGTTGTGGGCTCGATCCCCATTGTGGGGCATGCAGGAGGCAGCTAATCAATGATTCTCTCTCATCATTGATGTGGTGTTTTTTTTTCTCTCTCCCTATCCCTTCTTTGAAGTCAATAAAAATATATTTAAAAAGTTAAAAAACATACAATATGAATTGTTCGCTAGAAATTGTTCTGTAAGGTATTCAATTTGATATGGTCATAGAGAAAACAAGAAAGCTTTGTGAAACTTGGCAGTAGTCTTTAGACTCCCCAGTGTTGGTTTTTTTAAAAAACAGTATTTTGAATATACTACACTAAGACCAATACCCATCAGTTTCCAAATGGTAAAAGGTTCAGAATACCACATTCTTTTCTAATTGTGACATTTCTAATGCCTATAGAGCCCCTTTATTCCTCATGACTCAACATGAAATAGTAAAGGTAGGAACATTTGGTATGTTTTCTGTCAGTTAGGAATTTTGGGGCTTTTGTATTAGAAATTAATAAATTGTATTTGGATGTCTGAAATAAATTGCTGTTAAGCAAGAAGTAGGATGATGGATTAACAAAATTACCCCTTTGGTGCTTCAGATTTTGAGAGTTGCTTTAAAACATAGGGGTGTAGAGGTTCAGGAGATAGACAAAACAAGATTAGACCACAAGTTGATTCATTATATTATTTCTTCTATAAAATAATTTGCATTTTAGTTTATGTAAAGTTCAAGTTCACAAAACACTTATTTTTGTCTGAATTTTTACCATCCATCACTTGTTGATTTATCTAAAAACAAAACTACATGCTTAGTCCTTTAAACACTGTAATATTTTCAGAGAGGAAGAGTAGAAGATGTTGTCGTTAGTGATGAATGCAGAGGAAAGCAGCTTGGCAAATTGTAAGTAAGCAGAAACAAGGTAATCCTGGATAAATTACAATGTTTTTTGTGTTTCACTTTACAGTTCTTTGCCAAGATACTTGTTAAACATATTTTGCTGTTTGAAGTTCTTTCTGGTGTCATGAATTATGAATCCATTTACTCTATGACTGAATTTAATGAAAACAAAGTATTTTTACATTAGTTTTACCATAAACTTTGGAAATTGGAAGTGTACCATTTTGCAGACAGTAACATCTATAAATTAATTTTTAATAGTCAAATTCTCATATGAGTAGGAAACTTTTGGCTGAGTCAGGTGATTTCCCCATTTCTCTGTCATATTTTAAAACAAAATGTTCTCAGTCTCCTAAGTTGTAGAAACATTGAAACAGCCTTTACTGTATAATCCTTTATACATTTACTTAAAACTTTAAAAAACAGACCAAATTCTAATATTCTAATCTTCACTTTGTGATATCCTTTATAATTTTATAACTTCAATCAAGATGTTCTGTATGCAAACATGAGAAAACACTTCAGGTAAATTTTTATAGATTTTTTTTAAGTTTTTTAAAAACTCCTAAGGCAGTTAGAATCCCATTCATATACTGGAAAGAAGTATACTTTTTGCTTTCTTTCTACTTCATATTAGTTAAACCAAAAAAGAGTTAATCTCATAGCTACTTTCACAAACATTAGAGTCACTTTAAAAATGATAAAGAACAAAGCTATTACTTACCCATTTTGTGTAGGAATGTTGACTGTTCCTAAGTAATTTGAATAGATTTAAAAAAACACTTAAAAAAAATATAGGCCATATTTTTTAAATGATTGACAATCTTTAGTGTTCATCATCTTAAAACTTATTTTTAAAGAGGGTTAGAGTGAATTTAGTATTTGTCCCTTTCATTAATTGGCTGAAGATTATCAGATAATGTATATTTGAAACAAACTAAAATGCTTTCAGTGATTTAAATGCTTACCCATTTACAATATTTAAATAAATACATAGTGGGAATGGCCATGATCTAAACCTATTTCTAATATAAATTTGAAATTTAATGAAATATTCATATTGTTACTAAAATCTATTTCTATTAACAAATGCTCTATACCTTCTCCCTCCCTTTTTTTTTTTAAATTTCAGGTTATTATCAACCCTTACTTTGCTAAGCAAGAAACTGAACTGTTATAAGATTACCCTTGAATGTCTACCACAAAATTCTGGTTTCTATAAAAAGTTTGGATATACAGTATCTGAAGAAAACTACATGTGTCAAAGGTTTCTAAAGTAAAAATCTTTTAAGAAAGACATTTGTCAAGGGAGCTAATGCCACAAGGTTGTATATCCTTCCTCAAGTTAAAATAGTTTGCTACAAACCAGAGACCTCCACAAATAGTGGGTTGAAAAACATTGTAGTACCACAAATATGACATTTAGAAGATTACTTTGGGCTGGTGGGACATGCTGTGAGTTTAGATTACAAATGAATATTATAGAGGATGATTTTTATTCAGAGGAATATATTTTTAACTTGGATCTTTTCTTGCATTGTATTTTTCTAAAATTTGGCTTTATTTCTTGGTAGACTATAGGAGTTATGTATTTGCTATCTGTGTACTGCTCATTTTAAGAAATACATACAATGAATAAGGCTGTTTATCACATTCTTAAAATTAATATTTTTGGTTCAAAGAAACATTTAAATATGAATTAATGTATGCCATTTCCCATGTATTACTTGAATTGGATACATTAGACATAACTAAATGTAACATGTAACTAAATGTACATGTGTTGATCCTAATGCTGTATTGACAAATAACCTGGCCAGTCTTTTAAAATAGAAATGAAAATTAACTTATGTGATAAGATTCAAAATAAAACAATGTAAATGTACATCTAAATGTTTATATAATTCAAATGTAGGCAAAGTGCCACCTGTGTTATGTGTAAAATATGATTTTTATTTAAAGTACCTAAAAGCAAATATAAGGTACTTTAAAACAATGAATTAGCAAATTCTGGCATATAATAGAACTATTATTCTGGTCACTATCCTGTTTTGATTTTTTTTTTAAGTTGAAGTAGACATATTAGATATGTCATTAATAGTTCTAATCTTTTGCATTCCATGTTATATTAAACCTGTTCATATGATTAATAGTCTTTTGTTAGAATCCTAATGTCTGTGCTTTTCTTGAGTCTTCTTTTGAACTATTATGCCAAGTCATGGTTCATAACATTAGTTTTGTGTACTCTTTATAAAATGAACTTGGAAAGCAAAGATCACCTGTTTCTCATCCCTTTGACTCAGACCTACCTCAACTGGATTTTGGCTTTCTCTCCAGGCAGTAAGTTAAAGTTGGTTTCTAAAAAACCATAGAAACCCAGCCCTAGCTGGAGTGGCTCAATTGGTTGAGTGTCATCCTATGCACTGAAAGATCACTGGTTCCTCTCCCAATCAGGGCACATACCCAGATTTCGGGTTTGATCCCTGGTTGGGATGTGTATGGGAGGCAACCAATTGATGTTTCTCTGTAACATTGATCTTTCTCTTTCTCACCCTCTCGAAAATCAATAAAAACATATTTAATAAATAAATGAATAAATAAATGGAACCACAGAAGCCCTTCACCAATAGAGGGTGCACTACTACCTACTGATGACCTGTATGGATGAACTGAACTCTCTCTCATGAAAGCAACAAAGCTAGTTTTGCCTTTACTGGAGTTCCCACAACCTTGCCATGACAGGAGCTTTACCAAATACACCCATGTTAGAAAATAAGCCTAATAAAAGGCAAAATTAAATTCTTTATTACATTTTTGAGCACTGAACAATTTGATGTCAAACTATCTACAAAGTTGGCATTTCAACAAATTCCTTTCGGTGGTTCTCAACCTTCCTAATGCCGCGACCCTTTAATACAGTTCCTCATGTTGTGGTGACCCCAACCATAAAATTATTTTCGTTGCTACTTCATAACTGTAATTTTGCTATTGTTATGAACCGTAATATAAATATCTGATATGCAGGATGTATTTTCATTGTTCACGACCCACAGGTTGAGAACTGCTGCTTAAAATGGCGTTCTTAAGGTCTTACTTTATATCCCCCCTAAAGGAAATAGTTACAAGCAAGGTATAGAATATAAACATTGTGTCATGAGGCTAGAGAGCAGGCAGACAGCTCGGGGTGTGGGGGATTGGAGGGGTGGAGGGAGTGAGCAAAAAAGAAAGAACTCATGGACAACAGGGTGGTGATTACAAGGGTAGCGGGGGATGGAAGGAGGTGGAAGAGGGCATAGGATAATTGTGACAGGAAAAAAAAATTACTTTAAATTATGTCATGAGGAAAATGATGCCGATGCTCTATATTAGTTAACCAGAGAATGTTTATGATTTTCTAAGCCACATTTTAAGTAAATTTGAGTAAAAAAAAGGTATTTAACTATATTTACAAATTTGAGCATTGTTTGCTTTTGAAAAAGTATAATGAAGTGGAAGGTGCGATTTTTATTGTGCCCCACATATGTGTCTATTTGTATATCATTGATTCTACTGGTAAAATGCATTTTTTGGACATGGTAACATTTTGGAAATCTGGGTATATTTTATGATCAAGGGCTTGTCATAGTTTATTCAGTAATATTTTGCCTTTTAGTGGTATCTAGAATATTGGTGTAGTAATGGCATATTTGATGAAGACTAGTATGTAGGTGGACTAATGAGGGGAAGAGGTACAAAAGCAAGAAGTATTTTTTTAATGGGCTGGAAATTGCATAGATCACCTACCATTTCTTTTAGAGATGAATTTTCTCACTCCCAACTTTAAACTTGATATACTTGAGCTGAAATGTGCACCTTACATTGATTACTGACCATAGTTTGTGTGTGTGTGTGTGTCCACAATGTATTGGAAGATACTCTTAAGTGCTTATCAATTTCCAATGTTCATTTATCCTCCTTAATCTGTGGGAATAAAACTACGTTACTTCTCCCTAGAAGCCAACAATCTAAATAAAGAAGTTCTGAGGCATAAGCAGTATAAATGAGCTTTTCAATCGTTTTGAGGTATAACGGCACAATAGTTTTAATACAACCACCAATCTTCACAAAATAATTTTAATACTTTGTGTCTGGGCTAGCAGCATTTCGCACTGTGACATTCCTATACATACATAAGCATTTTGTCTAAGTACAAATGTTAAAAGCAGAGTAACTTAAGCAATTGCCTATACAAAGGTAAGTAGACACTAGGTTATTTTTCTTGAATTTTTGCTGCATAGTAAATTGCAATTACATGTCAGTATAATGTACTGATCTATAGAATACACTTTGAATTGTGAGGTATGGCAACTCCCTATAAAGAGAGCTAACATGTAAACCTGAATATTTTGAGTGATTTTTTTTTTTTTTTTTTAGCTGCCATGGATGGGTAAGACAAAGAAATCCAGCATTCAAAGACCTTAGAAACATTTTTCTGACCAAAACATAAAATAAAATCTTTTAATAATTCTCAGCTATTTCCTAATGATTCCTTTTTGGAGCACTGTTCAATGAACAACAATAAAGTAAATACTGAAGTGAAGTGAAGCTAAGTTTGTTGTGGAAGTGTAGGTTAAGCCAGTTATTGGGGAAAGAAAAAAAAAAGAATTCACCAGGTAACTGCTCATTTACTTTACATCAGTTGAGACTCTGATATATATGCATATATATGCATCCCAACTTTATAATTCAAGATTGCAGTTGAATACTTCTAATTCACTTGAATTACCAGGGTAATAAGACAATTAGAAACCGTATATTTTCTTAAAAAGGACATGCTTAACATTTTGACATTACTTCTAAATTCAGCTGAAATAAAATCCCCCTGAAATACATATTCTACTCCAAAAATTAAGTGGTTGAGAGTTTGTAGCAAAAGCTATCACGATTTAACATTTCCAACATAGAGTAGATACAAATAAAAGTAACTGCTGTTTAAAATATCTAATAGATAAAATAATATAAACCAATTAACTGATATTAGGTTAGAATACTGCCTTCCAGTTTGAATATTTTCAATATTTAAGTTTCTCACTTTCAAAATGGACAATAAAACAGTTGTCCTATGTTTTGAGGCAAATTCACTTTAAATTCTATGCCCAGATGACATATTTAATGTTTAAAATTGGGAACTATGCCACTTATACATTATTCAAATATTCTAGAAAATAAGTCATGATTGGTTAAATGTATCAGAGTTAACTATCACAAAACATCAGTAGAAATAAAGCATAGAAATGGAACTAAATAGAAGAAAGACTGGAAGAGCTACCAGAACTAGTTAAACATTAGGTGGAAGAACGGATCCCAGATAAAATGAACTTGCAATGTTCTTACATGAAGGAAAGAATAACATCATTTTGTCCACATTAATATTGTACTCATGACAGTCCCTTTTCCTAGTGTTGTGATAGAGAGTCTTTAATGTACAGTGCTGGGCAGGCACTTTAGTGAGAACATAAAAATTATAGTGGTTAGAAAAAATGGAAAATGATCAGCAAAAATAACTAAATCTGTATTTTTTTGGCCCAACTTACTAGAGAGGATATGTATACCTAAGAAACTAATTTTAAAAATCTTTACCTCATTTTTAAAGCCTAAATGTACTACTATGAAGATCCTTTTGAGCAGACTTTCTGCTGAATGAAGCATCATATATTATTAGATTACAAGAGAGATCTTTGCTGACTTATCCAATAGTGATCTATTTACAGGGAAGCTGTGTTATCTGGCACTTTACCAACTGGAATTTCTGAACACTCAGTGCAAATTCTGACTCAACTAGCCAACCACACCAAATGACATAATCACACAACAAAATACAGACCACATGGAATTAACATGTTGTTTTCAGGGTCATAAAATAGAGAAAGGGAAGGGAAATCAGAAGAGGAATACCACCTGGGTCAACAGGAATTGACTCTTATTAACAAAGCAATTTTAATTAATTTACTCTTGCTATGCTTGATAAAACACACTTTTACTGTATTATTACATTTTAGGGAAGAAAGCCTAGCAAGTAACTTGGTGTAATGTCACTTTGCATAGTACCTCTTGGTACCAAGGGAATGTATGGAAATCATTCCCATCAGTAAAGCACCTCAAGTGAGGACTGAGAAAAGTGAGAAAGGAGTTTTGCTTGTGCTAACCTAAATCATCAACTATAAAAAGTTAAAACACTCCTCCCTCACATTGTACTTAAAATATCAAAAGTGTTTTTGTTAAAACAATTTATATATATATATATATATATACATATATATATATATACATACATATATATATACATATATATATATATATTTATAAATAAAAATGGAGAAATTGGATCCATAAAGTGACTTTGCTAATGCAAATTATAGGGCAAATTTGGATTAACTCAATATAAAGAACTGATTCATACACGAATTTAAAATACACTAAAGTCTCCCACAAATCATTTTCCTCAATAAATGCAACTTCAAAGAAAAGCTTCTGTCTGAGCCAGAACAACCTCAAAGAATTATTAGGATAATATAAAATAAAGGAGTAAATATTTCCAAATTATTTACTGAAGTTTCTTCAAGCCTCAGACTTTCAGTTTAAACTAATTTATGGGTTTAAAAAGTTAAAGAAAAATGTTAAAAATTTTTCAATGTTATACATACTCATTTAGAGGTCATGAGGATTTATTTATTTTTTAATGATGCAAGGCACTTTTCTTTTTTGGGATTCATTTAGGAAAAAAAATGGTGCTACATTGGTTTATTATAGTCTATTTAGAACCATTTTGGACAAAGAAAATTGGGCTAAGCAACTCTAAAAAGAACAAACACAACATTTGGCTTCTAAGAAATGTGAAAAGAAAGTCACTTGAAAATCTAAAACTCTCCTTGTTTTTGAGCATCTGGTATAAAGCAATGCATCTTTTGTTCATTAAATATTTTTCTTCTATAGACTAAATAAATTAGAAAGGTAATAGGAAAGGAAGCAATACTTGGATCATCTTAAAGTAAGAATAGTTGGCTTATTGTCATGATTTCAAGATTAGTGATAAGGGATCAAGATGTTTTAAAAAATAAAAAGGTAATTAAGCTATTTAATTATAATAAAAAAGAAAGGTGACAGGTTCCTGCATTTGTTAATGTTTCTGTAAGAGGCTCCATCATAAAATTGAACTGTAAAATTATTTTTTAAATGTAATATATAGAACACAAAATGAATTTTTAGCAAACTTTAGGAAATTCTTTTGTTACAAATTACCCAAATTTTATAAACAAATTCCCCTAACTTTGCATTATGTTTAAAGTAGTAACTTTATATCATACAAATAAATTTCAAGTATGAAAAGTGCATTATTGCAATAATACCTCTTTGCAAGTCCAAAATTTTAGTTTATAATAAAACTGTAAAGTGTTAATAAAAAGAAAAGGAGTAAAACCATCAGTGCCATCTATTGCAGAAATCTTACAATGTTGCTTAATAAGTTGTAGAGAAACACATCTGGAAGCAACATATAATTGAAAAGAAACTACTTGTGTTTTTACCACTTTACATTAGTATTGTCTCTAGTGTTTCCTCCTTCCCAAATAGAAATTCACATCCTCTATGGTGCTCTTGAGTCAGCCATTCTGTGCAGTAGCCACTTGCATGCTTCCAAAATCATCATCTTCTTCATGTGTTCTCTTCAAACTGCCTAAATGTATTGCATGAACATAACATATAATGGGAACTTAAATTTATTAGAAATGTTATACCTAGTAAGTTTCATTTTTACTGAAGTGTTGCCATGTATATATGCACTAAGACAATTCCATGACTGAACTTTCAGCAAACTTTAGTAAATTCTCTTGTTATGAATTACACAAATAACTTTGTATCTTCATAACAGAATACATTTTCCCTCTTGAGAACTAAGTATGTCTTAGGTGTTGTAAATGATAAACATTAATTTTTAAAGTAGTTTGGAAATAAAAATTTTAGAGATAATGGTACAGAACAATTGATTATCAAGTTTATTTTTTTTAGGCATCATAATCGTGACTTAGGACATAAAATTTAAGAAATTAATTTTAAATTTGTACAATTTTATTTTGCAGATATAATTATCTTTGCTTTCATAGACGCTGCTGAAAATATTTTTCCACTGAAGCTGTGTTTTTTATTATCAACAAGTCTAGAACTGGAAGAAAGGACAGCATGCAGCATATAAAGCAGAGATTTTCTTTTAACCACTCTTCACATCAGAGTCCACTAGTACAGAAATTTTCCACATGGAATCAAAGCTGTCACTATAAGGCCAATAAGTATAATAAAAAAAATCTGAATCTCAATGGAGGAAAACTTTAGGGAACAATGACTAGTAAAGTGGTGCTTTATTATATGCCTAACAATGGGATGGCCTTAAATTTATGCTCTAACAATTGTGCTTAATCACAGTAATAATGTTAATTCAGAGGGCAGATTCCAACATGAAATTAATCTGTCACTATACGATTAGTCAAATAAGGACAGAAATATAAACCGAGACAGTAGGATAAAGAAGAAAACATGCTAGACAAGGCTAAGTACCGCTGCTGCAACTGAGTGTCAGAGAAGGTGCTGCACCTTCTACTTTTGTACCTTCTACTAAGGGAGGTAAGGTACAAATAACCTTAATGCAAGGCAGAAAGTGAGCAGTATAGATAGAGCAGTTTCAATGATGGGATTAGAGGAAGAGTAAGTTAATCATCATGTTTTCTTGAGATGATGCATGAACTAAGTTTTTAGGAACAGAGAGACTAAATGTGATTCTAGGTGGAAAAAAAGAGATGAAGAAAACCATCATGGAGTGCATAATAACGAGAAACAGGCCTTGGCGGGGTAGCTCAGTTGGTTAGAGCATGTCCACATATACCAAGGTGAGGTTCGATCCCTGGTCAGGGCACATACAAGAAACCACTAATGAATGCATAAATAGGTGGAACAACAAAGCAATGTCAGTCTGTCTCTCTCTTCCTCCCTCTCAAAAAATCAATAAAATCATCCTCGGGTGAGGATTAAAGAAAAAAGAACAACAGTGAGGGGTGCAAAAAAAGATCAGAAGAGACTTTAATTACTACCTATGACACTACCTATTGTGTTTTCTGTAGGACTTAATCCAATGAAGGCTTCTGTACAGGAAAAATACCACAATTAGAACTAACTTTAGTGAAAATGAGTCTGGCCACAATGTTCAAACAGACCAAACTTAAAGACTTTGGATAGGAGGCCAACATGGGCCTGAACTAGACGGAGACTAGGAATACTATAAAATAGGGAAGTAACTTTAAAGGTACTGAGGAAACAGACCCTAGCAGATTTGATAACAACTAGATGGTGGTAGCAAAAAAAACCCAAACAAAACAGTTAATGGCTCTGGCCGGGTGGCTCAGTGGGTTAGAGGGTTGTCCTGTTATGCCAAGGTTGCAGGTTCAATCCCTGGTCAAGGCACATATAAGAATCAACCAATAAATGCATAAACAATTGGAACAACAAACTGATGTCTCCCTCTCTTTCTAAAAATCATAAATTTTTTTAAAAAGGGTTAATGACAACTAGGAAGCTGAGCCTGAAGGATGAATATATAAAACTGTCACAACAGGCTGCACAATACAGTGAAGAAAGTGCTGGACTGACTGGTGGTTCAGATCACAAGTGCTTAGTTTCCAGCCAAAAACACAGTAGGAATGTAACCTGTTCTTCCTATCATATAAGGCTGTTGATTCAAATTAAAATGAAATGAACTTTGGGAGAGAAACACCATAAATGAGCAAATTCTATGAGTGCTCCAGTAAAGTAAAAAGAACAGCAAACAAGTGTAACAAGATCTTGGGAAGGAAGGTGAAAGTTAAAAGATTGTGAGAGTGTGCTTGAGTCATTACCTTTGAAAATGGGCAAGGACTCTGAAATAGGGAAGGGCGAAGGGCTTGAACATCCATAGCAAAAGAAAAACTTGAGGTAGTTGACATTAATCACTCTAGCTTGAAACATACTTTCATTTATTAACTATCATTTATTCTTAATAAGATCACTCCTTCACCAGACTTCTCTTATTATTTTAATCTAAGTGGCAACACAGTTATACTACTTAGAGATTTAAAATGAAACCAAGTAGAAATTTGATCTTCTAATCAGCTTACACTGATTAACCAGTTAGTGGTGTGCACACAGCAGATAAGACATATTTATTCATATAAAATTAAAATTTGAAATTTTTTTTATAAACAATTTAAATTGTTAGTGTAACTTGTAACGAGCAAAATATGATTCTTTTCTACCTTTCATGTACTATCATCTTTCTCCCCACAACTTTCTCAAAAATGAAAAAACTCTTACCTGCGGTACCAGAATGAACAGATAATGACCTTTCTATCTGGAGTGGTGACATCATCTGTATTGTTAATTTTGCTAGGTAGATGGCTTCATATTCCTAAAATATAATTTTAATTAACTTCAATATACATTTAAGTTCTTGGATACCCAGAACAGTGGTTGATGTGTACATTATTAGTATTCTTAAGTTTATATCAAAAAATATGGTACCATATTATTGTAAGAGAAATGCAGGCTTAAAATTCTTACCTCATAATGTCACATTTACTGATGAGACTATAAATCAAGGCAGGCCAATAGCTTGCACTAGGGCAGTGATGGCGAAACTATGACACGCGTGTCAGAGGTGACACGCGAACTCATTTTTTTGGTTGATTTTTGTTAAATGGCATTTAAATATATAAAATAAATATCAAAAATATAAGTCTTTGTTTTACTATGGTTGCAAATATCAAAAAATTTCTATATGTGACACGGCACCAGAGTTAAGTTGGGTTTTTCAAAATGCTGACATGCCGAGCTCAAAAGGTTCGCCATCATTGCACTAGGGCAGGGGTCCTCAAACTTTTAAACAGGGGGCCAGTTCACTGTCCCTCAGACCGCTGGAGGGCCGGACTATAGTTTAAAAAAAAACTATGAACAAATTCTTATGCACACTACACATATCTTATTTTGAAGTAAAAAAACAAAACGGGAACAAATACAATATTTGTATTTAAATGCATGTGGCCCGTGGGCCGTAGTTTGAGGACCCCTGCACTAGGGTATCACACACTGAACTACCAATTAATATGTATCGGGGCATTAGGATAACAAGTACGATACTTTTCACCACTATTACTTATTGTTCTGATAGAATGAAAATTCAATGAAAAAGCAATATAAAGTTAGCAAAGTGGCAAATTATAAATTGAAGATGAGATTAAAAGCTAAGTTAATCAACTAGAAAATTTCTTAGAATAAGAGTTTAATAAGGTTGCCAACTGAAAATGTAATAAAAACTAGTAGCTGTCCTATATACAAATAACCAAATAGAAAATACACGGGGAGAAGAAACAATTTCACTTATAATGGGAACAAAAAAGTACCTAGGAATAAATTTAATAAGAAATGCATATATTCTGTACAGAGAAAACTTTAAAACACTAAAAGATATAAAAGCTGATTTGAATAACTGGAACATATTCTTAAAGTAGAAGACTAAAAATTTAATGGAGCCATTTCTTTCTGAACTGTGAATATATCATTAAAAACTATAAAACTTCTTCCAGTAAAGTTAACGAAGAACAATGAGGGGGTCTTGAGTCATACTATAAATTGTTTATATATTATAGTACTTAAAATTGTTTGATACAAGTAGAGCAATAAGCATATCAATGGAACAGAATACTAAGTCCAGAAATATACCCAAGTACGGAACAGAATTCATTGTATAATAAAAATAGCTTTTCAAAGGCAGATTTCCTTAAAAGAGCTCTTAAAAAACCAATAAGAAAAAGACCTGCAACCTGTATGGAAAATGGCAAACAATAAGGAGTTGCGCTTTACCACCAATATGACAATAACCAAAAAGTTTGTTAAAATACTTTTGATTACTGGTATTGTTTAGAGGATGGCAAAACAGGTCTCCTTGTTTTTGGGTGTGTTAAGTTTACATTACTTCAGTCTTTTTAGAGTTAATTTGATATCACCTTTCAAGTGCCCTCTAACCCAGCAATTCCACTCTGATCAGTTATCTCACAGGTATATTCACAGAGAGATGCACCTATTCTTTCGAATACTGTTTATAATCATCAAAGGCTAGAAACAATCTAAAGGCCCATGTTAAAAGGAAGTGGTCATATAAAATTGTTATATATGTACATATACATATAAAATATTTTTTGAGCTCTAAGAGATACTATTAGGGAGACTTATTTTTCACTGTACTCTCCTTAGGCATTGTTGAATTTTAAATTTTTAAACCATGAGTGCATATTACTTTTTCAAATCAGTTTAAAAAGAGATGTTTTTACACAACTGTTAAAAGGAAAAGAAACTAATAAATTACAGTTAACTTTCTGTTCTATAAGGAAGAAATAGAAAACATTTTACACAAACAAGGTGAGAAAAGAGATACCACTGTTTCTCTTTTAAATGAAGTAAAAGAGAAAAAAAAAAAGACACATAGACAGACAACCATATGGTGACTACCAGAGGGAAGAGTTGGGAGAGGTAGAAGATGGTAAAGGAAGAGGTAAATGGTGATGAAAGGAGACTTGATTTGGAGTGGTAAACATACAATACATATACAGATGACGTATTATAGCACTGTATTCCTGAAACATGTATAATTTTATTAACCAACTAGAGGCCCGGTGCACAAAAATTTGTGCGGGGGGGGAGGGGGGCGGTGGTGGTCCCTCAGCCCAGCCTCTGCCCTCTTGCAGTCTGGGACCCCTCAGGGGATGTCCACCTGCTGGCTTAGGCCCGCTTCCTGGGGATCGGGCCTAAGCTGGCAGTCAGACATCCCTCTGGCAGCCCAGAAGTCCTCGGGGGATGTCCACTTGCCAGCGGGGAGCAGGCCTAAGCTGCAGTTGGACATCCTTAGCGCTGCTGAGGAGGAGGGAGAGGCTCCCGCCCCCACCGCTGTGCTGGCAGCCGTCAGCCTGGCTAGTGACTGAGCAGAGCTGCCCCTGTGGGAGCACACTGACCACCAGGGGGCAGCTCCTGCATTGAGTGTCTGTCCCCTGGTGGACAGTGTGTGTCACAGTGACCAGTCATTCCCAGTCATTCTGCTGTTATGGTCAATGTGCATATTACCCTTTTATTATATAGGATAGAAGCCTGGTGCACGGGTGGGGGCTGGCTAGTTTGCCCTGAAGGGTGTCCCGGATCAGGGTGGGGGTCCCGCTGGGGTACCTGGCCAGTCTGGGTGAGGGGCTGAGGGTCGCTTTCAGGCTGGCCAATCCCCCCAGCGGGGACCCTCACCCCATGGGAGTGTGGCCAGCCTGGGTGAGGGGCTGAGGACCATTTTCAGGCTGGCCATGCCCCCTGGCGACCCAAGCTCCCGGTCTCTCCTTTTTTTTTTTTTTCAGCGCCTCCAGGGCAGGCTGGAAGCAGATATCTGGGATTTATTTATCTTCTATAATTGAAACTTTGTAGGTTTGAGCGGAGCCCAGGGCAGGCAGGAAGTTAGGCTTCCTCCATCGCCAGGGGCAACCCAAGCCTCCTGCTCGCTCCAGCTCCATGACCACCGCCATCTTAGTTGGGTTAATTTGCATACTCGCTCCTGATTGGCTGGTGAGTGTGGCTTGTGGGTGTAGCGGATTGATGAAGTTATGGTTAATTTGCATCTTTCTCTTTTATTAGTGTAGACTAGAGGCCGGGTGCACAAAAATTTGTGCACTCTGGGGGGGGGGAGGGGGTCCCTCAGCCTGGCCTGTGCCCTCTCGCAGTCTGGGACCCCTCGGGAGATAACGCCCTGCTGGCTTAGGCCTGCTCCAGGGTGGCAGACGGCAGGCCCAATCCCTAGGTACAGCCCCTGGTTGGGCTCAGAGCAGGGCTGATTGGGGAGTTGGGGCGCCGCCCCCTGTCATTCACAGAGCAGGGCGGATTGGGAGGTTGCAATGCCACCCTCAGTCATGCTCAGGGTAGGGCCGATTGGGGGGTTGGGGCACCGCCCCGTCACACTCAAGGCAGGGTCGATGGGGAGGTTGCGGAGCCACCCCCGTCACGCACAGAGCAGGGCCAATCAGGGGGTTGGGGCGCTGCCCCCTGTCATGCACAGAGCAGGGCCCATCAGGGGGGTTGGGGCTCCTTACCCTGTCACGCACAGAGCAGGGTTGATCAGGGGGTTGGAGAGCTCCCCCCTGTCATGCACAGAGCAGGGCCCATCAGGGGGGTTGGGGAGCTCCCCCTGTCATGCACAGAGCAGGGCCCATCAGGGGGGTTGGGGCTCCTTACCCTGTCACGCACAGGGCAGGGTCGATCAGGGGGTTGGGGAGCTCCCCCCTGTCACGCACAGAGCAGGGCCGATCAGAGGGTTGAGGAGCTCCCCACTGTCACTCACAGAGTAGGGCCGATCAGGGGGTTGGGGCGCCGCCACTGTCACACTCAGGGCAGGGCCAATGGGGAGGTTATGGCTCTACCCTGTCACACACAGAGCAGGGCCCGTGGGGGGGGGGGGGGGGGTTGGGGCGCCGCACCCTGTCACACACAGAGCCGCAGGGCGATCAGGGGGTTGGGGAGCTTCCCCGTATCAGGCACAGAGCAGGGCTGATCATGAGGTTGGGGCGCCTTTCCCTGTCACGAACAGAGCAGGGCGGATAGGGAGGTTGTGGCCCCGCCCCCTGTCACACACAGAGCCGCAGGGCAATCAGGGGGTTTGGGCGCTGCCCCCTGTCACGCTGATCCCGGTGCCGGGAGGCCTCTCGGCTCCGCTGATCCCAGTGCTGGGAGGCATATTACCCTTTTACTATATAGGATAGAGGCCTGGTGCATGGGTGGGGCTGGCTGGTTTGCCCTGAAGGGTGTCCTGGATCAGGGTGGGGGTCCCCACTGGGGTGGCTGGCCAGCCTGGGTGAGGGGATGATGGCTGTTTTCAGGCTTGCGGGTGACTGAAGCTCCCAACTGCTTCTTTTTTTCTTTTCTTTTTATTCTGGGCCAGCTTTAGCTCTGGCTCCAGCTCTGAGGCCTCTGCTGCTGAAAACAGGTATCTGTTTTGTTTGGGTTCTATAATTGAAACAATGTATAACTCCAGCTCTGAGATCCCAGCTTGCTGAAAGCAGGTTTCTGGGGTTTTGTTTAGCTTCTATATTTGTTACAATGTTTCAAACTGCAGGCTCAGAGGCTGGCAAGGCAGGCGGGGAACGTTGGTTTCCTCTGTCACTGAAGCAAGCAAGCCTCATGTTAGTTTCAAGCTGCCTGGCTGCCGGCCGCCATCTTGGCTGGCAGTTAATTTGCATATCGCCCTGATTAGCCAATGGGAAGGGTAGCGGTTGTATGCTAATTACCATGTTTCTCTTTTATTAGATAGGATGTTATCCCAATAAATTCAATTTAAAACCCAATAAAAATTAAAAATAACAAAATTATTTGTTTAAAACATGAAGTAAAAATTAATAGTAAATTGAAAACAAAAATGAGGCCCTATCTGGTTTGGCTCAGTAGATAGAGCGTCATCCTGCAGACCAAAGGGTCCTGGGTTCAATTCCAGTCAAGGACACATACCTCGGTTGCAGGCTCCTTCCTGGCCCAGGCCCTTGGTCAGGGCACATGCAGGAAGCAACCAATTGATGTGTTTCTCTCACACTGATATTTCTCTTTTTTCCCTTCTCTCTTCCACTCTCTCTAAAAATGAATGGAAAAATATCCCCAGGTGAGGATTAAAAAAACAAACAAAATTGAGGTAAAATTTAAGATACAGTAACTGAGACAATCTATGTTATAATGCACTCGATGTCTAAATTTGAAATTTATTCATGGAATCAGCCAGAGCACATTCTTCAACCTATGATTTTCTTTCTTGAAAAAAAAAATCTTTTTTAGTGCATCTTTCTAGGCACAACAAAATCTGAAAAATCATGGAAAAGATAAAGCATATAAAATTTAAGAAGTTGTATGTAGCATACTTAGAATCAAAACTCAATGTGTGTGAACAAAGTGGAGAAAGAAATTGAAGAAATTTCTAACATGAATTATTTATATTATTTATATTCAACAACGTGTCTTTAATCTTTTTTTCTAATAATAGCAGCCCTTTTTATTTTATTTTTAATCCTCACCCGAGGATATTTTTCCATTGATTTTTAGTGAGAGTAGAAGGGGGGTGGGGGGGGAACATCACTGTGAGAGAGACACATCGATCAGTTGCCTCATACATATGCCCTGACTAGGGCTGGCAATAGAGCCTGCAACTGAGGTATATACCCTTGAACGGAATCACACTCAGGACCCATCAGTCCACAGGCCAATGCTCTATCCACTGAACCAAACTGGTTAGGGCTGTAATAGCAGTTTTTAAGAAAATTCTTTTGGCCATATTACCCAAAGCAATATATAGATTTAATGGAATCCTCATCAAAATCCCAATGTCATTTTTTAAAGAAAGAGGATAAAAAATTATTTTGTGGGGGAACCACAAAAGACCCCAAATAGTCAAAGCAATTCTGTATCAGAAATGTATACTTGAGCCCTAACTAGTTTGACTCAGTGGATAGAGCATCGGCCTGTGGACTCAAGGGTCCCAGGTTCGATTCCGGTCAAGGGCATATACCTTGGTTGCGGGCACATTCCCAGTAGAGGGCGTGTAAGAGGCAGCTGATCCATGTTTCTCTCTCATCGATGTTTCTCTCTATCCCTCTCCCCTCCTCTCTGTAAAAAATCAATAGAATATATATTTTAAAAAAAGAAATATATACTTGAAATCTACATGGTATTATTAACCAATGTCACCCCTATAAATTTAATTTTTTGAAAAGGAAAACTCTTTTAAATAGAAATGCAAACTTGGAATAAAATTAGATTATAGCGATTTTTAAGCATTTACAAAGTAAATTCTACACCTAAATTACACGGACTTAAGATTTTAATAATCCTACTTTCTAAAAAGGGGAGAAAAGAGGTTACCTGAAGTTGATGAACAAATCCAGCATTAGGATTAATACAAAACCTTCTTTCTTGAACATAAGCAAATGCATCTCTGAAAACATAAAAAGAAAATTAAAGTGATGTTATCAGTTTATGAATTAAATCTTAATTGAGATAATTCATCTAAAATAGAAACTTATCTAAATATTTATCTAAAATAGGTAATCATAATCCTATAGCTTGTACTCAAAAGAGGTAGTGAGTGGTAGTGGAAATATCGACAGTGTGGTCAGACTAATCACAATAAAATGGTATCATTGTAAGACCTGTCTTGGAGGGCTATTGAGAAGATGGGAGGTAAGTGCAGAGCACTGTACAGAGCACCTGTCACATCATACATGCTCACAATGTTATCAGTGGTCAATGAGAAGTACATCTACTTCCACACTGTTATGAGGCATAAATGAGATAAAAACGCCTAGGAAACAGTGCCTGGAACATAGTAGAGACCCAATAAAAGGAAATTACTTTCACTATTCATATTATTACTGACAAGACACCAAATAATAAAGAGAATATATAAAAGTTTCCCAATGCTTGTTCATTTTTCAAATAAAATAAATTATCTGCATTCAAATAATATTCCTTTAAGAACTGATACTTATAAGCAAACTTATCCATTTTAAACACAAAGGATACGAAAAAAACAACACTAAATAAGCACTTGAAGAGTCCAGGGCCTTCACAGGGAAAGCAGTTGGGGGGTGGGAGTGGGGACAAAGAAGACTCAAGGTAGAAAGGGGGGCTCCAATTCCAACTGTGACCACCACTGCCATCCCGGGGGGTAGCCCGGAACAGCAAAAGGAGGCCAGCAATCGTTCCCATAAGGGCAGTGGCAGCACCCAGGGATATATTGCCAGTAAGAAGAAAAAGTGTCCACCTCTAGCTTTGCACAGGGTATCAGCATGGAAGCCATGAGTGAGAAGAAAATGGTGCCTTCTGATTTTAGCACAGGACCTACAGAGAAAACTTGCAAACTTTTGTCATTTAAGGACCCCAACTTTGTGCCCTCTGACCATGGTGGTATAGCTGGCAAGAACAGAACTTGGAAGAACTAACAAATTCTCATTTCTGAAAGGACATTGCCATGGCAACTGAACAATCCCATCTACTTCAGTATTGATGCTCCCCTATCCTTCAAACCAGCTAAGCATTCTGATGTTTTAGGTCTTCTTGCCAACTACAGTGACCCACAGAGCAAGCTGCGGTTCAACACCATGAAAGACTTTCCCTACATTCGCAGGCTGCCATCCTATGTTGTCACTGGCTACCTGGCCCTGAGAAACACCATAAGCATCGTTCCCTGAGCCTTGAGAAATGGAGTTGAAGTGGAAAACTATTTCAAAGCTAGACTTTGGACTCACAATTTTGCTTCATGGAAACATACTCATTCTGCTATCAATCTGGAAATGCCAGTGCTCTGCCTTGGAAAGAATGTTTGGCTTTAAGGTTTTTTTTTCCCTATGTTTTTCCTCCAAGTGTAATATCTCCTGTTGAGTTATATTTTATTTATTGCCTCAAGTAAAGTCATTTGACAAGAAAATGACAACAAAAAACCCCCAAGCATTTGAATGTTTATTATGTGTCAGGTATGTGGATCCAATGCTGAACATAGCTCAAATAGAGTAATGGGGAACATGGTATAAAAATGACTCAGCATGACTCAGTGGTTGAGTATCAACCTGAGAACCAGGAGGTCATGGTTCAATTTCTGGTCAGGGCAAATGCCCAGATTGTGGGCTCGATCCCCAGTTTGGGGCGTGCAGGACGCAGCCAATCAATGATTCTGTCTCATAATTGATGTTTCTATCTCTCCTCTCCTTTTTTCTCTGAAAACAATAAAAAAATATATTGAAAAAAAGATGATGGAGAGATTGATGGGTGCATGTCATGCAAGTTTCATCTGCTAGGCTAAGTTATTAAGAATTAGAAACCTTTGAAAGCTTTTTGGGGTAAGGTGATTATATGTTTAGATCAGATTTATCTTTTGAAAAGATCATTCCAAGTTCAGTGTGAAGAACAAAACAGACTGGAGGAAAGAACACAGGAGGCCACTAAGAAGGCTCCTATTGGAGGAGTCCAGGAAGATACAACTGAGCTTGTATTGGGGGGATTAAATGATGAGGGAAAGATATATTGATACTCAATGTATATTTTAGGATATAAAACAGATAGGACTGGTTAATAGATCAGTTTGGGAGAAGGGGAATAAAAAAGGGGAAGGTATCAATGATTACAAGATTTCTAACTTGTGCAACCAGACACACTAACAAAGGAAACACTGCACAATGGCCAGGTTTATGTTCTGTTTTGGGCCAAGAAGCTCATGACCTCTCCTCTCTCTTTTCTATCTTTGCATATGCATGGAAAATACTATTCTGGATAAGAAAGACTACACTGAATTATGAAGAGAAGCTAAAAAAATTCTTAGGTAATTTTTCATCCAACTACTGTTAAAGAAAAACATAATAAATTAGCCTTTTAAAGAAGGAAAGCAGTAACATCTGTGTGTAAGTGTCTTAAAACTTATACTAACCAATTCCCTAAGCAGTAAATAGTCTTCCATGGATGATTCTAACTATAACTATCTTCTTAAAATAATAATAACAGTACCTCCATAAAACAAAACAAAAAATTTAAGTAAATAAGGGAGACAAGCTACAAAGGTTAAGAGACAAAGCAGCTGGTACAAGAGCCTGCCTAATCAAACATGACTAGATAACAAAATCAAAAGAATATTAACTTTAAACTCCCAACTTCTCCATTAAATTAATAATAATTTAAATTGTGGCTCAGTTTCTGAGTACTTTCTTACCTGTACTTCATTCCAAATGTTTCCATAATGTATGCAATAACAAAGGCAGCACTGAAAAGGGGGGGGAAAAATTTAGAAAAAAACAACAGCAAAAAACAGGAAACACAACTCATTAATTAAATGTTAGAGAGAAAAAAATTATCTCTAACTTCATACCTCCTGGAGATCCCTGCATTTCCATGGACAAGAACTTTCCCTGAAAAAAAAAGAAACAGTTATTCTGATAGAAAAATACAAAACAAGAAGTAAAGAAAACACAATCTTGTGAACAGTCCATTATATATAATTACAACTTTCATATCCTGAATTTAAGATGAATACTAACTGCCCTAGCTGGTTTGGCTCAGTGCATAGAGCGTCAGCCTGCAGACCAAAGGGGTCCTGGGCTTGATTTCAGTCAAGGGCACATACCTAGGTTGCAGGCTCCTCCCTGGCCTGGGCCCTAGTAGAGGCTTGTGCAGGAGACAACCAATAGATGTTGTATATTTTAGGATATAAAACAGACAGGATTTCTCTCACATCAATATTTCTGTCTTTCCCTCTTCCTCTCTCTCTAAAAATCAATGGAAAAATATCGTCGGGTGAGGATTAAAAATAAATAAGTTAGTAAATAAATAAATAAAATGAATACTAACTAAAAAATTAACTAAACAATCTAAATATAAACATTAGCTAAGTAAATATTATTTACCTCCAGTTTGTAAGCTCCCATCAATAAATTCTTTAGTCTGAAAGCAAAGACAATGTGTTATAATAAAACATATAGATTAACATAAACATAAAATACATACAGTGAAACAAAATATATTGAAAACAATTTCCTGCTAATTTATATGAATAATAATTACATTAATTCAAGAATTTTCAGATAATTTCAAATACTATTTGAAGTTTAAAAGTTATACAGGAGCTAAAATTTAATTTAATAATTTCAAAGTGTGATTTCTCAAATTTTAAAAACATATGTAACACCACAAATTCAGCCATAACAAAGAAAAAGTTCAGACCATAAATAAGAGGTCAAACTATGAATACATTTTAAGTAATATTAAAATATTGATACCTACCATGGGAAAAAAACGTATTATATTTTCAACTGGATTATCTGCAATATCCAAGACTAAATATCTGAAAATAGAATATTTTGTGATAAGCACACTTTCAAACAAAACTCTCTTTATGTATTAAAAACCTAACTTTGAAAATTTCTAGACAACCATAAAAAGAATGCAAAACAACTTTCAAAGTATCATATTCCTAAGAACTGGACCATAGATTATATATTGCTTAAAGCATACATAACATTATTTTTTATATGTATTTTTTTTTTATTGATTTCAGAGAGGAAGGGAGAGGGAGAGAGAGAGATAAAAGTATCAATGATGAGAGAGAATCACTGATCAGCTGCCTCCTGCAAGCCTCCCATTGTGGATCGAGCCCCCAAACCGGGCATGTTCCCTGACCGGGAATCAAACTGTGACCTCCTGGTTCATAGGTTGACACTCAACCACTGAGCAATGCCAGTTGGGCAGCATACATAACATCTAAAGCCTTACATAACACATGTGAACATTTCTCTGATATGTTAATATTTTTAAAAATCTATCTGGTTAAAATAGAAAAATCACGAGACCTTCCTCCAGATCAGAATGGACCTAGAAAATAAAGACAAAAAGTGCCTATATTTATTATTGTTACTCTTCTATTTCTACTTCTCTAGGACTACATGATTCTTCTCTGAATGGTCCTGTATCCACTCCTCCTTACAACCCTACAGAGAGCACTTCAGAAGAAGCCTAGATTGGGTGCAGGGCGGGGCCAGGCCGGGGCACCCGGAGCCCAACCGGATCCTGCGGCCCTGTGGCCCATGCCCCTTCGTGCCCTCCACCCTCCGCCCAAAAAAAGAAGCCTGAAGTCTGAAAGAGAAGGAGCTAATCAAAATGAAAGGCAGTCTGATGGAGTCAAGAGTAAAAAATTGGCTGTTTGAACTAACCTTCAGTAGTGCAAAAAGTCAAGAGACCACCTGTCCTGGAATTTATGCTTTGGAAAACATTTAAAATAAGACATTATTAATATGGTAGGCTTTTTTTTATTTTGTGAAAAACTTCCATTTCTAATTTATCCAACTTAACCTGTTTACTTAACATAACTATAAATAAGTTATGAAATTAATTTTTAAGTTAGCATTGTTTTAAAAATTACAGTTCTTTAATGGTAAAACAACAATAAATTCAGGGCATATCAGAAAGAAGTTGAAGCTCAGGATCCAAGGATAATCCAATGTAAAAACCATAAGGATTCTGACAACAGTATCTTAGAATGACTAGGTAGACCTGTTGTATAAAACATTGCTTCAGGGGAGAAAATGTTAATTCAGAGTTAAACTAAAATATTTTACTATATGCTAATTTGAATGTCAAAAACTACTAGTACCCCTAGCTGTTTTGGCTCAGTGGATAGTGTCAGCCTGTGGACTGGAGGGTCCCAGGTTTGATTCCCGTCAAGGGCACATGCCCAGGTTGCACTCGATCCCCAGAAGGGGGCATGCAAGAGGCAGCTGATTAATGATTCTCATCATTGATGTTTCTATCTCCCTCTCCCTTCCTCTCTGAAATCAATAAAAATATATTAACATATATATACATATATTTTTTAAAAACCACTACTAGAACTATCCTATATAATAAAAGCCTAATATGCTAAGTGTCTGACTGTTCATTCAACCATTTGACCTGTTGCTATGACATGCACTGACCACCAAGGAACAGACAGACACTCCAACAGTAGGTTAGCTTACTGCAGGGGTCCAGCCAATCGGGACTGGGTAAGACGGACCGGACACACCCTGCAGCCCTCCCGCAGTCCCTTCCCAGCCCTGATTGTGCACCAGTGGGGTCCCTTGGCCTGGCCTGTAGCTCTCTGACATCCCCCGAGGGGTCCTGAATTGCGAGAGGGCACAGGCCAGGCCAAGGGACCCCACCAGTGAACAAATCGTTCACTGGGTCTCTAGTCAATCTATAAGACAATACTCAGTTTAAGGAGAAAGAGTTCTTCCATTAGTATAAAGAACCTGCTCTGGGTACTAAAAACAAATGTAAAATGGTAACATTCATCTTCTCTAATATACATAAGTCTATGTGTGTATATACATAATACACATTTACAATAAAGAAATATTTAGAAGAAAATATAACAAAATGTTAACCAAAGTATATCATCTAGGTTGTGGAATTATGAATGAGTTTTTAAATATTTTTTCTTGATATCATTTCAGTTTTTCCAAAGTATCTATAAAGGACAAGTGTTTATTTTACAATTAGAAATAATTCAATCTATTTTATTTTTAAAATATAGACATTTATTTTTAAAAACTAATTTTTATTCACTGAGAAATATGTACACAGTCAAAAGTTCTGTCAGTATAAAAAATATTTGCAATGAAAAATAGATCCCTTTACCATCCTAGACCCTGAATTTCCCTTCTGAAAAGCAATCATTGTCAAGTTTCTAGTCTTAGTCCAGAAATTTTCTTTACAGATACAAAAATATATAGGGTGTCTCAAAAATGTATATACACTTTAACAGCTGATAATTCACTTAATTTTCACTCCTTTTCAGGTTTACCTGATTTGAAATAATAGGTGAAGCCAGACTAAGCTTTGAACAAAGAAAATTTATCCTAAAGTACTACTAGACTTTTTATGGGAATACAGACAGGATAAAGTTTATGTTACAAAATCGGCAATAGCTGACAAATTGAAGGCACACAAATTCCAAATGAAATTCCAATTCTTTGATGTTTGTGATTCCACTGGTTCGTGTTATCAGCAGTGCCTGGACCAGAACAGTCCAGTTTGAAAACAGGCATTGGAAAAAAATTATTAATTTCTGTAGAAGCTTTTAAATTTTGAAAATGAACTGTATGTTAATAAACACTGACGTTATGCTGGGCCAGCGGGGCTCGTTGGTTGAGCTTTGACCTATGAACCAGGAGATCACGGGTTTGATTCCCAGTGAGAGCATATGCCTGTGTTGTGAGCTCGATCCCCAGTGTGGGGCATGCAGGAGGCAGCTGATCAATTTCTTTCTCATCATTGATGTTTCGATCTTTCTCCCGCTCTCCCTTTTTCTCTGGAAAAAAAAATAAATTAAATAAACACTGACTTTATAACCATTCAAAGTGCATATACATTTTTTGGGACACCCATTATATGCCTAATGCCTTGTATACATTTTTAAACACACTGAGAGTGTACATGGTTCTGTACCTTGGTTTTTCTTTTTTTAATTTTTTATCGATTTCAGAGAGAAAAGAAGAGGGAAAGAGAGATAGAAACATCAATGATGAGAATCACGTGCATGCACCACACTGGGGATCAAACTGCAACCCGGGCATGTCCCCTAACTGGGAATCGAACTGTGACCTCCTGGTTCATAGGTCGATGCTCAACCACTGAGCAATGCCGCCAGGCTGATTTTTCTTTTAATGAATCTTAGAGATTATTCCATATCAATACACACATAAATATTTAAATATTTTAAAATTTATTTTTATTGTTGAAATATTACAAATGTCCCCGTTACTCCCTCCTGTGCTCCCCTCCACCCTGCTCCCACCCGACCCTAGGCCTTCACCTCACTATTGTCTGTGTCTGAGGGTTATGCATATATTCATATCAGTTCTTTGGTTCATCTCTTCCTGTTGCCCCTCCCCACTTCCCTTTGAAATCTGTCAGTTTGTTCCATGCTTCCATGTCTGTGGTCCTATTTTGTCAGTTTATTTTGTTCATTAGATCCTACATATAAGTGAGATCATGTGATATCTGTCTTTCTCTGACTGGCTTATTTCACGTAGCATAATAACAGAAAAATTTCATTCTTTTTCATGGTTATAGTATTCTATTGTATGTTCACACAGTACATTTTACAATGTCTTATACTAATGGACATTCGGGTTGCTTTCATTTTTATAAACAATAAAGCAGAGCATTAAAATGTTTTTAACATATATGCTTTTATATAGACACAGAATATCTCTAGAATGATATTCAAGGAAGAGTTTTAATAGTAGCTACCTCCCAGGAGAGAAGTTAGGCATCTGGGTTTAGAGACTTACTTTCATTATATACCATTGTTGTACCGCTTGTAGTATACTCAATTTTAAAAATAAAGTTAAAATAAAGAAATTATATATTATTAGATGCTCAACAGCACTCACTGTAAAATAAATAAGATAGACAAATTAAAATTACATGAAACACCATTTTAATCCAGGAGATCTGGAAAAATTTTTAATGCTTTATAATTCTGTTTAAGAGAGATCCAAAAAGAGTTATTCTCGTATACTTCATAGTGGAAATGCAGACTGATCCAACTCACTGGAGGGCAATTTGCAGCACCTATTAAAATTTTAAATGCTCACATCTAGCAATTCCACTTCTACAAATTTACTGATATACTTACATATGAATTAAATGACATGTACAGGGAAACTGACTATATGCTATATTAGTAAGTCTGGAAACAATCTAAATGTCCAACAATAGGAGACAGTTGAATAAATTTTAGTGTAGTCATACAATAGATTACTGTACAACTTAAAAAGAATAACGCAGGTCCTAGCTGGTTTGGCTCAATGGATAGAGCTTCGGCCTGCAGACTGAAGGGTCCAAGGTTCGATTCTGGTCAAGGGCACATGCCAGGGTTGTAGGCTCCATCCCTAGCAGGGGGCATGCAGGAGGCAGTCTATCAATGATTCTCTCTCATTTTTGATATTTCTATCTCTCTCTGCCTCTCCCTTCCTTTCTGAAATCAATACAAATATATTTTTTTTAAAAAAAGAATAATGCAGCTCTAAGTAATGATACGCAGCAACTTCCAAAAAATATACAATTTTTTAAAAGCCAGAGTAAAAAAATAGTTTACCTTAAGAATTTGCTTATATATGTAACATTACTCTGGAAGGATACTCAAAAAGAAGTAACAATTGGATGTCTTTATGAAGGGAATTTAGTCTTTAGGGGATAGGAATAGGGAAACCTACTTTTCATATACATTATTTCAAACCTTTAGAATTCTGAGTTATATACATGAATTACTTATTTAAAATATTTTAAAGGACATCTATTTTTAAAATGATGTGCTGTACAACCCATCTCTATGTACAGAAGAAAGTCTGATATAATAAAATCAACTTGAATTAAAAACCAATTACATGTTTGCTACACGTAACATTTTAATAAATAAGAGCAATAATCTTACCTAAATAATTGTTGAAAGTTTGGTTTAATAAAGTTTGCTTCAATATTTTGTCTTATGCATATGATATGGGTCACTCCATGTTTCTGTAGTATAGGTAGCTATAAAAAAAAGAAGAGGCAGGGGAGAGAAACAGTTTAAAATACAAACATCATCCTACTGTAACATAGATGTTTGAAAATACACAATTCAACATTAGAATTAATACAGACACATCTGAACTTTAAATAAAGGGGATTAAAGCTAATTTTAAGATAATATAATTGCTGTGGCCAGTTGTTCATTGGTAGAGCATCGGTCTGTGGACCAAAGGGTTGCAGGTTTAATTCCCACTCAAGGGCATGTACTTTGGTTGCAGGTTCCCCACCCCTAGTAGGGTCATGTGTGGAAGGCAATCAATCGATATGTCTCTCTCACAGTGATGTTTCTTTCTCTTTCTATCTCTCTCACCCTGTCCTCCTTCCCTCCATTCTCTTTAGAAATCAATAGAAAAAATAATATAACTGAAATGATCAGCAAGAGATTTCAATGATTCAAGATTAATACATTAAATGTCCTCAAAAAACTAATAGGACTATTTTACAATTATAATCTTAGAGCTCGATGGGAGCTTAAAGATAATTTATTTGGAAAACAATACTATACAGTTGCTGAAAGCATGGACTTTGGAGTCATAAGAGCCCAAGCTTTATATCCAGCCCTGCAGTTCAGTTTTCTCCTGTGAAAATGGGGAAAACAATACCTAGTCACTAAGTGGTTATAAGTAGATAATACATGTGGTGTTTGGCAGAGTGGCTTCAGCACATGTCAAGTGTTTATTAAATAGTAGTTACATATATTGACTATGGTATGTTTTTCTTTAGAGGGAATTAAGACATAAATAGTTGTTCAACATCGCTGACTTAATTAATAATATAGTACCAGAGTCAAAATCTCTAATTACTCCTGGCCTCTCCCAGTATACTTTTTGTGCTAGAAGCCAGAATTAATACAATTCATAGAATCTAATGAAAGCTTTCAGGGTTTTAAAGTTCTACTAAAGTTGAAAATAGGCAACTCCAAATGTTATCTTCTTATATTCTGTGGTGCTTTTTTGGCTTGTATTATAGAGCAATTTAATGCAACACTAGGAAATATCAAATTTTTATTTGCAAGCCATTATAGTTTTCTGTGAATTTATAGATGATGTTATTTTAATACCTAAAATATAAATTCTATGAGAGCAAAAACTTTGTTCAATGATTCATATTAAGTATGTGCAACAGGGCCTCAAACATAGTAGTGGTTCAATAATAATGTTTAATAAATGAACAGTTCATGTAGACATGAGGAATTGGAATAATCTTGAGTTTTCTATGATATTTAATCCTATAATCCTATATATTTGATTCCCACTTTCTACATTAAATACTCCAGAACAGTAATACTAATAATTTATGAGAGAAGTCAAAGGATAATTTATATTTGCTATGGACTGAATGTACCCTCCTAAAACTCATGTTGAAGCCCTAACTTCCAAGGTATTAGGAGGTACATCTCTGGAAAGTAATCAGATAGACACCTCTCAAGGTTGTTGGCTTAGATGAGGTCATGAGGGTGGAGCCTCTATGATGGAACTAGTCCTCTTATAAGAGGAAGAGACATTAGTTTCCTCTCTGTGATGTGAAGATACAGCTAGAAGGCAGCCTTTGGCAAGCTAGGAAGAGGGAACTCACCAAAACCTAATCTTGTTGGCACCCTGATTTCAGACTTCCCATCCTCCAGAACTGTGAGAAATTAATGTCTGTTGTTGAAACCACCCAGTCTTTTATTATAGGCACCAAGTATTTTATTATAGCAGCCTGAGCTAATTAAGAAAACAAGGTTTTCAAAAGCTTTAAATATTAATTTTTGCAGCAAATTTTCCTATGTCTAACAGAGATTAGAGAGTTAAATTATCTTTGTATTTCTAAGTATATCTTGAATAAGAAGGGAGGTAAGCATTTGGTAGGATTAATAATTAATGTTGCATATTCACATTTATCCAACCTACAAAATGATTTCAACATTCATTCCTTCGCTCACATTTGATCTATGATAATCTGAAGATTTCATATCTATTAATGTGAGGAACTAGAAGACAACATATATAATTGTGGACAAAAACAATTTGAAGGCATATTAGGTTATTAATAAGTAAAAACAAGCCTGATTATCAAAATAGAATCCAAATGCAACAGCAAAGAGAGTACTTTTTACTGTTTAATAGATTTGATTATATAAAACAAATTATGACGTTTTCACACTTACAAACAACAGAGAAGTTTTACAAAAGAAATAGTTTAACAGTTACAAAGGGCCTTAGTTTGCCCTTTTTATTAAAACTGTATTTGAATGTAATAAAGGATAGGCTTAAATAATGAGTCCTAGGAAAGGAGTTTATTCCCTAAAGTTTCTCTATCTCCTTATAATGTTTTATTTTGTTGTTGTTATATATTTTGGAATGATGGTTATGAAAAGAAATATTGGTGACTCAGGGTGAAAAATAATCAAATTTTCCATATAAGCTTTTGAAGAGATAGATCTATATACAAATATTTATTATTTAATATGACAGACAGTAGAATTGGTAGTGAGAATACAACAAAAAATTAAAACCATCTTGAAGGCCAGTATTTTGTGAACACTACATTATTTGGGTGATAACTTTATGTTTGTGTTTTACAAAGTAAGTCACATTTAAATCTACAGTTGTCTGACCTATTCTTTCCAACGTAGTGGCAGGCCATCAAAATGACCAGGATGACTCAACGGTCAAAAAACCTTCCAAGCCCCCGAAACCGGTTTGGCTCAGTGGATAGAGCGTCGGCTTGCGGACTGAAAGGTCCCAGGATCGATTCTGGTCAAGGGCATGTACCTGGGTTGCGGGCATATCCCCAGTAGGAGATGTGCAGGAGGCAGCTGATCAATGTTTCTCTCTCATCGATGTTTCTAACTCTCTATCTCTCTCCCTTCCTCTCTGTAAAAAATCAATAAAATATATTTAAAAAAAACAAAAAACAAACCTTCCAAATCACCCAAAATTCACAAATACATCAAATTACATCATGAAAGTTGAAAATTCTACCATTTTTAAAAAACCTATTATAAGTAGGTAAGAATACTGGCTTCTAAATAGGCAAAGTTTGGGGGGTAACATTTGTGATACAATGTTTCACATTCTAATCCAAAGATAATTAGTAGAACTGTCATAATTCATAGGGCTGAATTCTCTAGAAAGTAGCAATGATACTGCTACATATATTAAAATGAGATCTATACTCTTACTTGTGTAACTGAAGAAATCTATTTCAGTTTGACACCATAGGACAGAGGTGGGCAACCCCTGGCACGCGTGCCAAACATGGCACACCAGTAACTTTTGCTGGCACGTGAAACCCTCTCTTATAATCTTCCATTTACAATTTTTGCAAACATTTGAATGACATAAATGTTAAACTACAAGGAACTGGCAAGACACTTGATGTTATCTTTGGTTACATAAAGGTTTTTGAAAAGAAACAGGAAATCTTTAAGAGGGATGTGGATGGTGGGAGATTTAGCTATTTCCCAAACCTCAGGAAATCTTTAAGAGGGATGTGGATGGTGGGAGATTTAGATATTTCCCAAACCTCAAGAGGCACATCAAAGATTTCCCAAAAGATGACAGAACAGACTGTCAAAGCCTTCAAAAACTGTTTTTAAACATCATCGAGTCAACTATTGAGCAGTTCTTCTGAAGATTTGCGAAATTCAGAGACCTGGAAGAGACAGCAAAATTCATGAGGTTTCCAGACAGCATGAAACTGGAGGAACTAAACTTACAAATATTTGCATGGATAGACATGGCTGACTTTGAAATGCAGTTGACTGAATTTCAGAGTAGCTCAATTTGGAAGCAGAAATTTATTGACCTTAGAGTTGACTTGGAAAACATTGAAAAAAAAAGCGATTAGAGACAGGAGTACCAGAGAGAAGTGTCAAAAACGAACTATTGAGGACTTGGAATGCCATTCCAGAAAATTTTTTGTTTAAAAAACTTTGCAACAGCATTACTCTCCATGTTTTCATCCACATATGCTTGTGAATCTTTGTTCTCAGTGATGAATTTTGTTAAGTCTCATAATAGGAGTAGCCTGATGGATGAAAGTAGTAGCTCGTGCATATCTCTGAAGGTCACGAAATATAAACCTGATGTAAAATCTCTGTCATCAGTGATGCAGCAGCAAAAGTCCCACTGATAATATCAAACGGAGTCATAAAGTTTTCTGTTGGACTATCAGTGTACATGTATATATTAAAAAATAAATGTATTTTTCATCATCATATACTGTGTTTTTGTCGCTCGAATGAATTTTATTATTTCTTCAAGGTTCTTCACATACATAAACCTTAAGAGAGATCAAGTAGGCGTAACGTTCTCAAAAAATTAGGGTTGGCACGCAGAAGAATTTTGAGTCAGAGATTTTGCTGGTTTTGGCACGCACTCACAAAAAGGTTGCCCACCCCTGCTATAGGACATTTATATAGAGAGCAATACTTTAGAACTTAGAGCAACCAGACCTCTAAAATCTGGAAAAACAAAAATAAGATTTGATCCACTTCAATCAAAATAAGTGTGTGTATGTGCATGCACAGACAGACACACAAACACACACCCTTGATAAGGAAAGGTTAATTAAAATATCCTTATTTGGGGCTTTCTATTTTAGAGGGTAAATAAATCATTAAATAGAAGTCCACTATTTGGTAAATCTTTCAAACACAAGGATTTCATGAGAAAAAAAAAATAGAAACTTCATTTATGATTTGTGGTTAAACACTTGAGAATCACTGGCCCGTAAAATTTGGAAAGAGGCAGGTACTCCAGAGTAACAATTACTGTTAACATACAATTATTTGTGAACTCTCCCTCAAATAAAACTCTACTAAAAAAAAAAAAAATTACTACAAAAAAGTTGGTTAATAAAATCTCTTGACAAACCTAACGTAAAGTTCATACCTTGCTTTTCATAGCAGAAGAATATGGGCCTAAAAATAATCCAGGTAAAATTTCCTAGAAAAAAAAATTGAGATATTTACCATCAGCAATTTAAATCTATATAAATTATGTACCATAAAAGTGGATATTGCGTGTTTTCATAGTTATAATAATTTGCTAAAAAGCTTATCTAGAGAGCATTTCCCAGCTACAATGAGCGAATGATTGGGAAGAGAAATGAATATGTGCTTTATACATCAAACGAGACATTCAAAATTCAAATGTGGTTCTGAATAATACATTCCAGATATCTGAACTTCCACAGTGCTTTTTTCTTCTCCGAGTTTTACTGACAATAGTGCTTTTATAGCAGTTTGGGTAGAATTAATACATTGTAGGATTTCTTTTACCTTAATAAAACACCTCTAATTTTACTTCTAGTCTCAGCTAAAATCTAGAAATAGGCATAAAGAAAATCTTCCCTTTGGAATTACATTAAACCTTATTCAGCCAACTCAAAAGCAGTACCCGATACAAGATTAGAGCTGCTATCTAGCCCTGCCGGCATAGCTCAGTGGATAGAGCGTCTGCCTGCAGAGTTAAGGGTCCCAGGTTTGATTCCTGTCAAGGGCACATGCCTGGGCTGAGGGCTCGATCCCCAGTAGGAGGTGTGCAGGAGGCAGCCGATCAATGATTCTCTCTCATCACTGATGTTTCTATCTCTCTCTCTCCCTCCCCCTTCCTCTGAAATCAACAAAAACATATTTTAAAAAAAGAACTGCTATCTATAGTTAATAACAGAAATAAAGTACAGCAAGTGAAAAAAAGGCGAATATCAAATGTTTGCTTATTGACAGTTTTAACAATTTAAATTAGTACTTTCTGAATATTGCATTAAAGCTTATTCTATGTGAATTCAATATAGAATGCTTTCAGTCAGGCTGTATCATACCCAAGATACTAACGTAGTAGTTCAGTTCTATGGGATATTGTCTGATTTCTTCTAACAGCTTCTTGTGAGCAGAAATAACATTTTTTTCATCTTTGCATTCTCCACAGCACCAAGTAAAATGGCTCTTAGGTACTCATATACTTTTAAAAAATGGATTTTCACTAAGAAAGAAAAGAAACAGATTTTTAGAAGTAAAAGGATTCCCAGGAACAAAAGATATTGCTTGATCCTAGGTCTAGCAGAGTGACTGTAAATGGTGAGAAATGAAAAAGAAAAGTGAACTGTTAATTAGCTATCACTTAAGTCATTCCATACTGGGAGAATTCAACTCAGTCTTCTGGAGGAGTTAGTTTTGGAAATTGATTGGAAATCACTAATATATCTAAGGTATGATATAGCCCGACTGACAGATTTCCATATACACTGAACTCTCCTGAATGTATCTAAACTAGACAAACAGAACAAACTACTTTCAAAAGGAATCAAAATACTGTACCAAATTTTTTAGATGCAGAAAAACAAAGTGACTCATTAAGCAAGTACATATATTACTGTCCATGGTTCTAATCTTAAAAATAAGAACTGCAACAATTCATTTCCCATCTTTTTAAGATCCACAATTAAGTTTAAATCTGTTAATATTTAAAAATACTTAGTGATGAACCTACAGATTATGAGTCAACAGATGAACCACAAAGGATTCAAATCCTTTGTGAAATTAGGTTATTTAATGATCCTATATAATACAAGGGTAACATGCAAATTGTCCCCTCCACTGGGAGTTCGACCAGAATTCAACCAGAGGGTGGGGCCGGCCAACCTCCCATGTCCCCTCCTCCTCTCACTCCCGCCAGTCCAATTACCCTGATCGGGAGGGCCGGCTGGACCCCACCCATGCATGATTCGTGCACCAGGCCTCTAGTAAACAATAAGGTTGTCATACCTGCATCTCTCGTCTCATAGGGTAGGTCCACTCCTTAAAAATAAAGAAAAACACAAGAATAAAAGTTAAATAACATTATAAAAAATGTCACCCAATTAAAAATTAAAGATGTGACATTCAAGCGTGTGGAATTTTAAGAAAAGTTTATACTTTAAGAATATTCTATAAAAATAGCAGATTCAATTGGCTACACAAACACCTGAAAATGTAAGTAACAAGAAACAAGGTATTCTTTAAATATTTGGCCTTCCAAAATTATGATTATATTACTTTATACAATGGATAGAATAGTTCATGAATTATAAGAATAGATATTCCAGAAGTTTCTCCCCCAAATAATCCTCTAAATTACAGATATTAATAGACATTTTTTTTTTTTTTTACATTCATGCTAACTCAGATCAACTGGCAGTAGATAGCTAAAACAAAGTGTGGAAAAGACTAAGGAAGAAGAGTGTTGTGATCAATAAGCAATATCTGCAATGGATGAAAGAAAAATGGTGTATGACAAGTATTTGCCATCTCTGATTTGCCAAATGCTTGTGAAACAGCCTTTCCCATACCTTACTTGGGCTTAAGATTCTGTCTTGTTCAACTCGTTTGAAATATACATTTCAAGAAAGCATAGATTTCATTCTGTCTTTGGAATGCAGACCAAGATAAAGAAGTCAGAAAATAATGCAAAATGCCAATGGCAAAGACAAAATATTTTAAAAGTTAGGAAAAGAACAAAGAAATGACAGTACATTGACATGAAAAATCAAATACAGTACAGATAGTCCTAATTTGTAAATGGATTGCATTCCAAGTCTCTAACTTGGTTGCTTAAAACTCAGAATTATAAATAGTAATTAGCTTTCTGAAGTTAAAACTAGAAGTGTTGCTGTTTTTTTAAAAAACACATAAACCTTTTATTTTAAAATAATTTTAGGATTACAGAAAAGTTGCAAAAAATTGTACGAGAAATCTCCTTTATCCTGATTCCCCAAGTCAGAAAAGTATTTTTAGCACATAATGCAGAACTTTTATACACCCATAATAGAAAGGGAGAATATTCTACTCCTGCAATGCCAGCAGGCTTTAAAAAAAACACACACAAAAACAGAGAAGAAACAGAAAATATATTTTAATCTTGAAAACTGGTCTCAGCAATGTAGTAGTAGTAGATTATAAATCCTGAGAAATTGTCTATGTAATGACAGTTTAAAAAAGGAATAAAGCCCAGCTCATGTGGCTCAATTGATTGAGCATGGTCCCATGCACTAAGAGGTCGCCAGTTCGATTCTTGATCAGGGCACATGCCCAGGTTACGGGCTTGATACCCAGTAGGGAGTGTGCAGGAGGTAGCCAATCAACTGATGTTTCTCTCTCATCCATGTTTCTATCTGTCTTTCTCTTTCCCTTCCTCTCTCTCTAAAAATCAATAAAAAATGTTTAAAAAAAGAGAGAACTTGGCCCTGGTAGGGGAATTCTGTTAGAGCATCATCCCGATACATCAAGATTGCGAGTTCAATTCCTGGTCAGGGCACATATAAGAATCAACCAATGAATGCATAAATAAGTGGAACAACAAATAATCTCCCTCCCCTCCCCTCCCCTCCCCTCCCCTCCCCTCCCCTCTTCTCTTCTCTCTCTCTCTCTCTCCCCACCTCTCCATCTCTTTCAAAATCAATAAATAAAATTTTCTAAAAATGAGAACTTATGAATATGGACAACAGTGTGGTGATTGTGGGGGAGTGGAGAAGAAGGCACAGAGTGAATAAATGGAAAAATTAAATGAAGAACACAAAAAAATAAAATTTATCTATGGAAAAAAATAATCTTTAAATGCACAGCTAAATTAACAAGCAAGTTAATCACTACAGATTAGTTTGCTTGTTTTTTAACTTCTTATAAATGGAATCAACTATTTTATGTCTTGCTTCTTTCATTCCACTTAATGTCTGGGTTTCACCCATGTTGTAGTGTATGTCAGTTTTCCCCTTTTTATTTCTGTGCAGTATACTACTGTATGAATATTACACAATTTACTCATTCTCCTATGGAGATTTAAGTAGCTTCCAGGTTTTGGCAATTATGAATAAAGATGCTATGAAAATGTTTTTACTAGTATGTGCTCTTTGGTAGTCATATGCATTCCTTTCTCTTGGACATGTAAGTAGCAATGGAATTGCTAGATCACAAGGGTAAGCCTATATTTGACTTTACTAGACAATACCAAAAGTTTTCCAAAACCAATTTACTAGTACAATTCCACCAGCAAGGAATGGAGGTTGTAGTTGTTCCACATCCTCATCACAGTCATATTTTAAATAGCACTGTACATGTGAGATATAAGACAAAGCCAAGGACTTGCTCAAAGTGAGAAGTCAAATAAAACATAAAAAGCTGGTCCCTAGCTGGGTTGGCTCAATGGACAGAGCGATGGCCTGTGAAATGAAGGGTCCCGGGTTCAATTCTGGTCAAGAGCACGTACCTTGGTTGCAGGCTCCTCCCCGGCCCGGGCCCTGGTCAGGGTTTGAGCAGGAATCAACCAATTGATATATTTCTCACACATCGATATTTCTCTGTCTTTCCCTCTCTCTTTCACTCTCTCTAAAAATCAGTGGGAAAATATCCTCGGGTGAGGAATAAAATAAAATAAAATAGAAAGAAAGAATTCACACAGGTAAGTTCCAATGAGCTCACAATAAAAAAAAACTGACTAAAAAAAAGGTGGTAGTGGAAATGAGCTACCATGAAAAGCAGATATAACTGAATGACATCTACAGACCTGCAGATAGGACAATGATGAAAAATTCACAACACATATAGCTATGGCCAGTGTCACTCAGTTGGTTGGGGAATCATCCTATACACTAAAAGGTGGTGGGTTTGATTCCTAGTTGGGGCATGTAGAAGAGAAAACTGATCGATGTGTCTCTCTCATATCCATGTTTGTCTGTCTGTCTCTCTCTCAAAAACAATGACGATATCTTCAGGTGAGGATTAAAAAAAAAACCCACACCAAACATTTAATATGAGAGTAGCAAAAATATGACAATCAATTAAGAAACTCATTTTAAGAGAGGCAATGGAATATGTAGAAACGAAAAAGTGCAATTGAATTTAAAAAAGAAAAAACAGTGGGTGAATTAAACAGAAGAAAGGACACGATAAAGAAAGAATTTGTGAACTGGAAAATAGAAGTGACCTTTCAAATGACCTAAATTCAGAGTTGGAAAATATGAGGTCTCAGAAGAGGGGAGGAATCAGATTGCAGTGTGCACTCTCTGAAGCACTTAGGAGCAGAAAGGTAGAAACATTCCTGCCTGAGTGGTCAGCACATATTGTAGCTAAACCCAGTGACAGGTTAGCTGTGGTCTTTTGCTTACCCACAGAGATCCAAGAAAACAAAGCAGTGCAAGAGAAAACAAAAACACTTCAGCACAACGTACTGGACAACAAAAAATCTCTTCTTATTGACTTGCTAAATAAAGAAGGATTACTCTTTTTAAAAAGCAGATTGCATTCCCTAGGCAGAGGGAAAAATCTATCAAATACCATGAAACCAAGGCAACAAGGTATCTCAGAAAGAAAATGAAAACATCTCCAGAAAATAAACTTAAAGACATCAAAATATATTATTTAAATGACAGAGAATTTAAGACTGCAGCTCCTAAAACTCAACAAAATATAAGAAAACTCGGGCAGTTTAATGAAATAAAATAAAATAGCTCAGTTGGTTAGAGAGCCTTGTTCCGATATGCCAAGGTTGCAAGTTTGATCACCAGTCAGGACACATACAAAAGAAGTACTTTACCAAAGAGATTAATCTTTAAAGAGCCAAATAAGCCCAGCTGGTGTTACTCAGTGGTTGAGCATAGACCCAGGAACCAGGAGGCCATGGTTCAATTCCGATTAAGGAACACGCCCCGTTTGCAGGTTGATCCCCAGTAGGGAGCATGTAGGAGGATATTTCGGTGTCATCGATGCTTCTATCTCTCTATCTCTCTATCCCTTTTGCTCTAAAAATCAATAAAGACATTTTTTAAAAAGGACCAAATAGTCACTTTCTCTCTTCCCAGAGCACACCCTTCTTTTCAAGTGTACTTTCTTAAGCTCCAAGGGCCCTTCTTTTGCCTCTGAAATTTGTTTCCTTAAACCATTTCTTCTATGCCTCATTTTTACTACCTCTATAACTTTCTAAATAAACTTCTCATAATTTGGGTTCTTAGCTCTGAATTCTTTCTTTACAGAACTCAAGAACCAAGGTCCAACTTCATTGTTTTGACAGTATCACCAGTTAATGTAGGTGCCTTATCGCCCTCTCAGTTGGCTAGAGGCACCTCCTTACGCTTTCAGTCTCCTTTCTTGGAACCTACTCAATGTGGAGTTAAAGGTTAGGGTCCTTAGCTCCAAGAGCCCTTTCTCTTATAGTTTGAAATAAAAATAAAAAAGATCCAAACAGAAACTCTGGAGCTGAGGAACTCAATAAACTAGTGAGCTTAGGAAATAGCACTGACCAGATGGAGGAAAGAAATAGAGCTATGGGAGATAGAAATCTACAAATGATGTAGATGGAAGAAGAATAAACTTGAGAGGAAAGAAAGAAAAGAAAGAAAAAGAAAAGGGAAGGGAAGGGGAGGGGAGGGAAGAAGGAAGGAAGGAAGGAAGGAAGGAAGGAAGGAAGGAAGGAAGGAGGGAGGGAGGGAGGGAGGGAGGGAGGGAGGGAGGGAGGGAGGGAGGGAGGGAGGGAGGGAGGGAGGGAGGGAGGGAGGGAGGGGGGGGAGGGAGGGAGGGAGGAGAGAGAGAGAGAGAGAGAGAGAGAGAGAGAGAGAGAGACAGAGAGACAGAGAGACAGAGAGACAGAGAGAGAAAGAGAAAGAAATTCTATGAGAATATCTGACTCCATCAGGAAGAGCAATATAAAAATAATGGTATACCAGAAGGAGAAGAAAGGGGGAAAAGAACAAATAGCCTACTCAAACAAATAGTTGATGAGCCCTAGCTGGTTTGGCTCAGTGGACAGAGCATCAGCCTGCAGACCAAAG